CTTATAAACATACATACACACTTCAATAAATCAGAACATGAACAAAAATAAGAAGATGGTACACGAACAAAGAAGAACGAAAATGAGAAGACCTGAAGAAAGAAGCGAAAGTTCTTCATAAAATTGTCTTTTTCCGCTTTGCTGCTGATTATTTGAACCGTGTCAACAGCAAAGTGAAAAGGTCTCCTTTATGAGAACTTGCACCGATATAATTGAACATGGAAATTAAAAACAAGAATACAGTAGAAGACAAATATGACAGGATCAAGAGCAACAATAAACATTGTATTATTTTACTCTAATTGCGGTTACTTTTTCTTCTATACTTCGCTTTCTATCGGTGTATTAAATGCCTTATTTTCGTTTTATGGAACCTGTACGGCTAGCACGACAGGGTGCGACTCCAGCGAGAGCGACATAAAGTGCGAGGAACTGCCATTCTCGCATAGAGATTTCGCGCTGTACTTATGTCACTCTCGCGTTAGTCGTGTCCCGTTGTGCCTGCCCTACTAGTTGGTTAAAGCTACAGGTTAAAGCAGAACAGTTTTTTACCATCATGGGACCTGCCCCGAAACGTTCGTTTGTTTGAAAAAACAAATATACGTAATTTAAATGACAAAATATTCAATTCTGATAGTTGGTTCTACCAGTCGTCTTTGTAGTTTGGGGAATTCTGACAACTTGGATTGTACAAGCCCCAATAATATGAGCAATCCGTGCACAAACTTCTTATTCAATGTCTCACCCTACAAAAACCACACACATGCAACTGGCAGTCCTTGTTTCTATTTCAGGAAGTTATAAATCATTGATATCCATGGCACGATTCATCGACCTACTTTCATAACCAGTCCGGATTTTAACAGCAACAGTGTGTTGCTATGTTTCGTGCAATAAATATTTTTTGTACTGATTTTGTGAACTAATAAACATGTTAACATATTGATGTGATCCAGCATAGCACGCTTTTACGCAACAGGTTAACATCGCGAATGCTGTCTATAACATTATTCACATTGTAAACTAATAAAACAATACTTGAGGTATATATCATTCAAGGATACTTCCACCAGGTTGATATTGATTAAAACAATATAGCAACTGTATAGACGTAACTTGGTGGGCAGCAGTAGAGCTCCTTGTGAAAAAGTTCGTCAAGAGAAGTACTGCCACCATACCGATTTCTGCCGCCGCACAGTAATGCGAGCATTACTGCGTTCCGATTTTGAAGGTAAGGGTGCTGGTGAAGTTACACACCTTGTCAACTTTATGTAGGTAATGGGCGCAGTGGCAGTATCACTCTGATAATTGCAATTTAAAGCTCTGAATGGCACTGCAACTGTTAGGTGTATCGCTTTCCACAAGGCGCATGACTTGTTCGTTCCGTCACTTGGTATTATAGAACAGAAAACATAAACGTTTACTCATTTTGGCAAGGAGTTTTTTGTATAATGTGATCATTGTTTGTATATTCTTGTCAAGTGTCAAGTGTGATCAACCTGTCAAGTGTAATCAACCTGTCAAGTGTAATCAACCTGTCAAGTGTAATCAACTTGTCAAATTCACTGTTAAATCTAAAAGTTTATGACGATTATTTCGATCCCTCCTACGTAAAGAATCGTAAGCCCAAGGCGTAAAACGGTTATTACTATGTTATGAAAACTACATTGAAGATTTACCATCAAAGACATTACATATCTGTAAAAAGATCGATCAGTCATAGGCCCAAAGTCCTTAGTAGTATATCGTAAAAAACTTTATTCCATAAACATTTAAAATTTATGGAAGATAAAGTGAAAAGTGACTCTACATCAGTGCACAACTGGTGTTTAGGGTGAAAAGGTTGTAAACCCTAATGAGCCGGGACCAGGTTCACGGCAATAAAATAAGAAAACTTCAGGTCCACAGAAATTTATTGTAAGTTGATGGTAAAGAAAAGAAAAAGGAAAGGAAAAGTCCAAAAGGGCAGAATTATGCGGTATTACGGATTGGCATTAGAATGGCACATGATTAGCAGTAATTGTTACAAATTGTTATCAAAATTTGGCACATGATTAGTAGTAGCTATTACAAACTGGCATTGAAACTGGTAAAGGAATCAAAATTAGACGCAATTGAAATTTTGACAGCACTGTACGCTGCCGCGATCGAGCAGGAAGTGACGGTGGAACGAAACGAAATCAGAATGACGAGGCAAAGGAATTAAAGAAAGATTCAAAATTTAAAAACGAGTGGCCAAGAACCGGAGAAAAGGCGATAAAAGGGTGGAATAACGAAGTAAGTAGGTCACATCGTCACAATTTAAGTGCAAAAAGATCCAGAAATATACAAAAATGTGATCAAAACACATGCATAGCTGAAATATCACGAATCAATATTCAAAACTGAGTTATGATTTTTTTTTATGATCTCAAAAAAGTATTTTGTCGTTTTCGTTAGCGGACGACAGTGTTACTATTGGAAACTTCAAACAAACCTCAACAAAGTTAACTATGAGACTACGAGTATTACTAAGGATATCGTAAAACATTTTCGCTTCCGTATTCACAATTACCCCCGTTACAGAACGTCATTAAACCGCTAGTTTTATAGTTATACACCAACATAAAATCGACTACTTGTCTCAAATTAGCGGCCGACTCACAAATCAAATGATTCGGGCCAACATTACGCCATAAGAACTCCGCAAATATTTTTAGTTGGGCAAAGAAAATGTTTATATATTTTATCCTGTGTTGGTTGGTATTGGCGAAAATTTCAATGTGGCTGTGGGCTTGCACCAAGGATCGACTTTAAGCCCCTATCTGTTTCTCCTGATTATAGATGCTCTAACATCGGACATACAGGAAGGGGCACCCTGGTGCATGCTGTTCGCTAGCGACCTTGTATATACTTGTCGGGGAGGATGCACTGGCAATAGCCAGTCTGCTCTGGACCTCAAGAAAGTGGAAGAAAAATACATGTTGTGCCGACCCCACTTAGCGTGGGATAAGGACAGGAAGAAAAGTCGGTATTGTCGAAAATTAGGAGCTGCGAGAAGACAGAAAATGCAGTGAATATTAACATGCACCAATAACCCAAGAAGGCTGCTGATTGCAACACAAGACAGCGTAGTCGAGTATTTAGTACTTATTGGTACCACCAGGGGTCGTGAACGACAAACCAAATAGCTATTTTTGTAACTAATTTGTTTTACATTAAAATTTTTATTGAATTGATATTCAATTATTTTTATTTGAAATTACTGCACTACTTTGTTATGATTATTAATACAAAGATCGAACACTCAGAAAAAAATCCTTGTTTTACATTGACAAGATGCTAAGCAGAAAAGATCCAATCCACAAAATTATCAAAAAATGAGTTATTTGTACTAAACGGTTCTCAAAATCCACAGACTATAGATGCTAACGCATGTTAAAATCTAACATCTTAGATCAGCAAAACAAATCCAACATATAAACATAAATAAATATATCTGGAGTAACGTGACATTATAGTAAATAACAAATGTTTTATACGTGATTTAAGTCCCGAATTAAAAATCAAATAATGGCTTAAAGTTTTGAAAATAAAACAAGAGTGCGAAACGCTTTTAAACTTCAAACTGCCATCTCGAAAGTGACTGAATGTGCATTGGATCATTTTTGTTTAACTACGTCCAATTTACCAAAAAAAAAAGCTTGACTACCGTCGGGTAATTTTCCGAAAAATTTGAAATAGTGGAAATTTTCCGGAATAATTCCCGGAATATTTGAAAGATTTGAAAAATTTTAAAATAATAATTTCGAAGGCTCATATTATGTTCTACGTTTAGAAATATCTTTTGGAGTTTTACTTAGAGTGACTTATAAAATAAACTTGTATTACTATAAGCCACATAGAAGAAAAGCGAGATTTAAAAATGATTTCACAACAGTGAAAAAACCTCCAACAACCACACCACTACCACCTCTTGTTGGCTCCATTATTTTCGTTCACTAACTTCAACTTTTGATAGCAGTCCACATCAAATGTGGAAAAATACAGGAAAAATATTGGAAAAAATATCCGGTTAAATGTTTATTGTTCTGAAAAATATGATTTCTTCAAAGTGTAAATTTTTGCATGACCCAACAGTAAACTTGACACATGACATGAGTCACTTCCAAAGTGTAAACTTGATGTACGCTTAACTGTACTTCATTCATCAACCTGTTTAAGAACCAGGCTCTGGTTGATGTTGCCTCCTTCACTCCTCACGGTCCATAGTCGGCTCCACTATCTCTTTAAAGGTGCTCACTTTGACATACTTCTTTATTTATTCACTATACGATATTTTAGTTTTCATCTCTTGCTTTTTCCCTCTAGCTTCCCTTCAATTATAACTTTTATAAATTCTTAATGTAGGACGCCCTCTGAGCAGATGGAGTGACGAGCTGAGAAAGGCTGCCGGCAGCAGTAGACTGCGATAGGATGATAATGTAACAGCGGTTTAATGACGTACCTATTTACTTACAGGGTTTTTAATTAATGAAATAACAAACTGCGTATCGAAACATTTATTACACTCAAAATATACAGTTAATCTAATTCGTGCACCGAAGTATTTTACCGACTGCACACATCCTTCTTCCCTAACAATATTTTTTCCTTTTTTTTCTATACACTCTTGTATATATTTTTTAAATAATCATCATAGGTGTCTATCGAAATTAGGCCTACTTATATCTGTGTCAATCTAAGTTAAATGCCTTTTTAAATGAACATTAATTACATTATTTTTATAAAAATACACAGAACGCAACACAAAAAGTAGACCTAACTTTGATTAAGTTTCATACGTTAAGTAGAGATACATGGAAGTACAATTATAAACAGTTAATATTCGCCCATATTCGGTCAAAGATTTGTCCAATATCAATCGTCAGGACCACAATTTGTTTCTACAAAACGTTGTACATGTAACTTGGACGAATCATTAGCCAAATATTGGCTCCAATCATTACAATCAAAACTTATCTAATGTTCATCAAGATGAGCGTAGACTCTTCTAAGCTTTTCCCTTTTGTTTTTGTTGGCGTGTCTCTTTTCTTGCTTCCAGGGCTTGTTCAGGACTCCGACGCGGCTGCTAGCTGGCTGTGCTCCTGCTACCCTGAAAGAAAAGAAAAATAGGGTTTCCTTAAATGAAAAATAGACACACTCTTGACCACATCAACGACGGTACGCATTTGTCTATAAAATGCAGGGTTTGAAATGATGAAGATAATTATTTTCCTTAATAATTACCATGATAATTATCTGACATACATATTACCCCTCCGACGTAAAGTATCGTATGTCGAAATTGCCAAGTTTACAGAGGAGCCTTTTAAATATTCTGAATTCATTGAAATAAGCACAACACGTGACTTTAGCATTTCTCAGTTTTATTCGACAAAGCTCGCTACTCACATAGAGTATTATAAAATCCTAGATATCGGTTAGAGGATGTATTAGATGATCACTCTATTTGAGTAACGAGCTTTGCCGAATAAAACGGAGAACTTTAAAACGCTTCCCTGTAATTTCGACATACGATACTTTACGTAGGAGGGGTCGAGTATACACGATAATTATGCAGGGATAATTATCGTGTATATCAGATTGATACTTTTGTCTCTTTAATCGCAAGACTAAAGTGACAAACAGTGAGAAAACTAAATATACACGAAAAAAAATCACTGGGAAAACGATTTGGTTTGTAACTTTTTTGAGATTGACATTTGACACGTTTGGATTCGTCTCTCATACAAACACGTGTTACAACATTGCTAGCTGTACGATTTTATTGTTCCAATTAATTTTATAAATTACAAGATAATTATTAAGGTATACTTATCAAGATAATAATTATAGTGACAATTGACAATGGCCCATTTATCCCACAAGTTCTTTATAAAATTTCACCTTGTCGACGCGTGTTTTGTCATCATAAATTTAGTTTTGAAAGGCCCGCCCATGAAGTTGTCATCTGTATAACGTACTTCCTGAATAAAAACCAATGTTTGATAAATTAATTAGTGATTTTTTTTAGTTTAATGGTCTTGGGTGCATACTATTTTTATATAGATTTCGCAATAGTCGCTAGAAATCTCCATTGTATACTTTTTATAGTCTTTTTAAATTTTAGTTTTACATTTAAATTCTAAATTTAAATGTGATTGTTTTTGGCGTCTTTTCTTTACTATTGTTTCTGTTTTTGGATTGATAGTTGTACGTGTTTTTGTAATAAATTAATAATTGTAAATACATTTACTTTGGTCTTGCTCACTAGTTGATAGCTCCCACCCGAACCCACTGATACAGTGCACTACATTATTGTTTATAGTTTTTTTAAATATAACGATGTCTCTGGTATCTACTTTTCAATAATAAATATTTCCTAATATATTTTATACATAATTAAATTATATATCGTACATAATAGCTGTAAACACAAATTCAAATAAGTTTAGTATCGGTTTTTTCTCGTCACTAGTCGTGACGTCGTCAGACCGACGCGACGGCGACGACTGGCGTTTAAGCATTTTCGAAAATTATTGAGTTTAAATAGAATAACATTATATTAAACAAAATTACATAATAAATCTGTGATGTAGATTCTATTTCAGTCATAAAAAAAAATACGTGAAAAAAGTTGCTATTATCAATTGGCACTTCGAACCCTCATAATATGCCTATTCACTCTACTATGCAGAAAAACTATATGTTTTTCAAGTATACAAACAAAAATACGTAATTAATACTCACAACAACGTAGAATGAAGTAGTTTAAAATTTTCAAGTATATGTAGTTAGTCGATTCTATTTTGCTGCCTTCTAACGAATGCAAGAGAGTATGCAAAAAAACAGAACAAGGTATTGTCTTAAAGTTCCAAATCTAAATTAAATTACATTAAATAGAATCGTGTTATCCAGCAACAAATCGTAATAAGAAACTTCTTCCGTTTAGGAAACAATGATAACACTGTCCATAAAAGTCCTTTATGTGTTCAGCTGTTGAAATTTAACACTACTTTGAAACACGAGAACATACGAGCTTCATCTTTCTCGAAAGCGAAATGAGTTGAACATATTCTATTATGAATAAGAGTTCCAAGAAATATTATATCTTCATTATACAGAAAACACATAAATCTTATAGTTTATCTGTTCTGCGGTGGGTAAATAAACAATAAACAAGTTGAGGTCTTCCGAAGAGACTAAACTGCGGGATTTGATGGCGAGCAAAACGGGACGTTTAGTGTAATTGGATGAGTAAAAAAAAATATATTTAAGGTTTCGCCATTGACTTAAATAGGTTTCGCTCTTGTTTTAAACTCAACTTACTGGACATTTTATGGCGTTTTTAATGTTAGTGTTCCTTTTAATTTCTTTAGCATAAAAGTGATAAGAATATTTTTAACCGACTTCAAATAAAGGAGGTGGTTCTCAATTCGATTGTATGTTGACTTTTTTTTGTACGTTACGCAATTACACCGGCATTTGTGAATCGGTTTTGAGGACTCTTTTTTTTGGAATGTCACTTAAATTTGAAGAAAATATTCAACTTCTAAGGCTGCCTTTCCACCAGTGATGTGCGACGTAGCGACGGTATGCGAGGAAAAAAATCCACCAATAGGATTACTTCATTTTCCTAGCCTCGCTTAGCGCAGCTCCGGAGGAAAAGGGTTAGAGGAGCTAAGTATTTGAACATACACAATAGCAAGAGATGAGAGATGCGGGCGTGGAATGTGTGCAAAACGGTGTAAGAAACTAGATCTACTGAAAGTATAACACTAACTGACACGTCGCCACCGCTCACTCACCACACCGTACCACGCCCGCGCATATCTGAAAAGAGTTCGTAACGCTTCCTCGCGCAGCTTTGGTGGAAAAGATCACACCGTTTCACAGCGCCGCTACATATCCTCGCGCCGCCTCGCTACCTCGCACATCTCTGGTGGAAAGGCAGCCTACGAATGGCAAACTAGGGGACGAATGACTTTTGAAATCGGTTTTTTTAGTACTCTGTACTGAGATTATTAGATCTATAAAATAAAACACATTGAGTTTTAGAATCTACTTCTAACAAAAAAAATGAAGGCTCTATCAAATTGTGAAAGATCACTAGTTGGCGTCCCTAAGCCCTTCGAAAGAAAAATAATGTAAGCCACTAGTTTAATATGTCGCAAGTGTTACGAGCCAAATTCCAATTGAATTGTAATTGCAAAACAGGAAATCGCATGCAATCGATAAACAGTTTGCATGCAGCCGGAATGCAGTTCATGTGGATGAGCGCTAATACCAAGAAAGATGATGCTGCCCTTCTGAATTTATCTCATAGTAGCTTGCTAAGGCGTCCAGGTCAGGATACAAGTCGTCATACGTAAAAGTATCAAAGATACAAATGCAATGAAAGAGGTTGTCAACATAAACACTTTCATCAAATTTAAAGACTAAAAAATATCGATACCGAGAGATCTCACAAGATTAGTTACCACAAATAAAACGTCGAAGAAGAATATGTCGCCTTCGATATAGTCAAGTTTCGTCGAGGCGATAATTATAACACCAACACTATCGCGGGCATACTCACATTGAGACCAATTTTCACGATCGTTAACCCCCCAGCCGCTCGTAAAGAAGTTAGACTCTATGAATTAACACTTGGCTTGCATCCAGGGTGCCCATTTCGTCTTCACAAAGTTTATTTAGGTTTCCCTTAACACTAATTGATAATACGAGATCTCTTTCATCTCGGTTGGGTGTAAATGTATTTTTGTATGTGCACTTTTTAGTCTTTGATTTGGTATCGGAATTTTTTGTTTTTAAAAATAGAAAGAATATTAACCACATTATAGAAAGAACGCGGAACAAATAGTATGAATTCATATTTAAAATTGACATTTTTTATGATTTTTTTAGGTATACAAAGTGACAACTTTTTACTCCGCGATATTTTAGGAGTGATTGTAATCAGTCAATACGAACAATTTTAATTATGGAGACCTCGCTCAAATTACGAAAAAAATATCAGCAATATAATATCAAAATGTATGGGACGGCTTATGGAAATGTGTTCACATTGATGAATAAATTCAGTCCTAAAATGTTGTTTAATTTAAAAAGTTGAAATCAAGAAAAATAAGACTTACCCCATAACAGGTTTTCCTTTGACGTGTGCCGTGCTCTTCTGCATGGCGAAGAATGTTTTATCGATTTCAGCTGATGTATTAAGCCAGCCCTGCATAAATGGCAAATAATTACTTTAAAACTTATTTTTTAATTGCGAACAGCATCAACAAAAGCATCTTATATAATAATTAAATTTATCACGTTCTTAGGTTTTCGCGATTGATAAATCTAGGAAATGAAACGATTTCTCCTGATTTAAATCTAGCAAACGTTGGTTTGTTTGAAAAAACAAATAACAAATAAACAAATATATGTACGCGATTTAATTGATATATGAAATAATTTAATTTAGGTGTTTAGGCCAGTCTCACCTACAACCTTGGTGCCCTATGTATTCCCTCCACATGTAGCTGGAAAATAAATCCATTTTTGTAACTTCCGAAGGCGCCATGTACAGTCGATGACCTAAGATATCTGACCCCTTAACGTCTATTTTTGTTCTGAGTAGATCAGTATGAAGAAAGGAGTTTAACATACTTAAAAGTAAACCGGCAAGCCATAAAATTGACTTCCTTGAATGAAGTTTTAAGTAACTTTTTAAGCCAATTTGATATTTAATTACATTACATAAATACAAATTTCAACCAAAAATCTGGAATTCCTTCACACTTTTCTGTTGAATGCGTAAGAAGGCTCTCAGAACCAAACAGTCGGTAGGGGGTTAGGTACCTTAGGACATCGACTGTACATCAAAATAAAGGTACGTTATGTGTTAAGTAATTCAGACCTAGACAATATCAATTCGGAATAATTTATTCCCATCATCACGTAAACGCCCCGTGCACGTTACACTCAACACTCAATGAAAATATCGCATTCAAATTTAGAGCTATAATAATGTGTGTATTAAAGTATGCTGTGCAGAGATGTGCAGTGGGTTGAAACTAAATTAACCCGGATTTTAACCGGTTTTTACCCACAGCGCCGGATTTACTCCAAAAATATCGCATTCAAATTTAGAGCCATATAATGATGTATGTATTAAAGTACGCTGAGCAGAGATGGGCAGTGGGTCGAAATCAAATTAACCTGGATTTTAACCGGTTTTTACCCACAGCGCCGGATTTACTCCGGGTTTTTAACCAAATTTGGCTACAAAGCTTTTGACCCATTTCTGCCCAAAATCGTGGGCGGAAACATTATACGCTTAAAATAAAACGGAAATTGGTATCGATTCCATACTTATTAGAAATTCGAGTTAAAATATTCGACGAAAAAGAGGCAACTCTACACAATACCCACCTTGCAATTCTGCGGACTCTTATTTACTACTTACCATTAGGGATGCACATTACGATTCGATTTTTATGAAAATCGGTTCAAACATATTCGGAGTAATGATTTTTTATATCGCTCTATTTTAATGCGATTTTCAGACAAATCGATTCAATACAGTGGCAAAATACATAAGTAATGAACATTTCGGAATAATATTATTAAACTTGAACGAAACTCGAAATGCGTTTAACAAAGCGCCGAGTTTTAACTCTGTTTTAAACCGCCCATCTCTAAACCTGAGCAATAAAGATCTGTTGACATATACAATTGTAATGTCAATGTGCTAAACCGTAAACTCACAGACATCTTTATTTAATAAATTTATGACTGTTGCGGTATTGGGTTGTTTTCTTTGTGTAAGTGATTTTCTTGTTGTTAACACGCAGTGCTTATTGTACGTTATTATTTAATGCTCGTGTTTGATTTTTCTGGAATTATATATGGAAAACCTGTACTGGGCAGTACACAGCGGGGCTACCGTTTCACATTCATTTCTAAAATATATTTTTAACCTAATAAGAGGATATATAATTAACCCTCCTCTATTGGCTCAAATTCCTTTTTTTATCCCGCCAATCTCACGTTACGTCCTTCGTCAGCGCAAATACCCTCTATTCAACTTTCATTTAACCCGCACAGTGACACTAAGACGGACACCATTCTTCGAAGCCCTAGCCGTAATTGAATCCTTAAGCAAAACAAATGATATTGACGTGTTCAGCAACGCTGAATTAAAATTTCTAACATCCGCTGGTTATATATATGGAGGCGGTCACCACCCAAAGCTCTGTGGTCCAAATTCCGCATCCTATCTTTAGCCGGTGATCGACTCAACCTTATTTATGACCATGACTTACATGTTTAGTTATAAGAACTGTAAGTGTAAGTTGTACAAAATAAATAAATAAATAAATTATTATGTTTAAGTTCTTAGGTTTTCGCGATTGTTACACATAAGAAATGAATCAGTTTTTTCGGATTCGTGTGTAAGTTTTTTTTTTAAATTAAATAACTTATTTATTTATTGAGATTTTTTGCGAAATAACTTGCGGCGACGAACGCCGAAAGCCAGTACAGAGACCTATAACAAAAACACATAAGAGAATTTCGACGGCTCGGTAACTGGACCCGTGACTCAGTTGGTAAGAGGAATGCTACGGTGCAGTATGGACGTGGGTTCAAGTCCCACCGGGTTGACGAAGTTTTTCTGTGTGTTCGAATCTTTGTATTCATAATCATAACAAAACTAAATATCTTATTGTTAATTTTTCAAAGAATATTCCAATATACGCTATATTCGTTTTACAAAATATTTAAATTTATTTTAACGAATTTTAATGAATTGTTATTAAATTTAATTTATTATGAATTAATAATATGAATTAGAAATAAATTAGAACACAAACCTTTAAAAAAAATAATAAGCTCGATTTAGATCCGAAAAAAGTTTTAATTCATTATTTGTTTTCACAGACAATTACCATATTCGGGCGTAAAATTAGTAAGTTCATAAATTACTTTTCGGCAACACTGAACTGTTCTAGACTATTATTTCTAAGCTTTACATATAAATAACTTACATTAGTACTGTACATTTCTGGTTACTTACTTCAACAGCCCTGGCTTCTCTGGGCGTAGGTTTCCTCTTCTCGTTCTTGCGTTCCTCTAGCATATCGTCAATTTGCTGCGCCTGGTAGCCGGGCGGCAGTTGTTCCCAACTTAGTCGACCACTGGCCGCGTCTTTAAGTAGGAGCCGAGCTGATCTCGATTGGTCCGGCTGACCGGCCGCCGTCATGAAGCCTCTATTGACTGGCGATGGAAAATTTATTAGTATCTGGTCAGGATCTTTCATCACCATGGTATTCAATTATTTTTTGTGAAATTCCTTAGTTTGTTATAATTTTTATTAAACAAAGAGAGAAAAACACTTAGAAAAAATTCCTTCAATCCGGCCGGATTCGAACTGACGTCTTCTAGCAAACCGTGGCAGACGCTATGCCAACTAAGCCACGGAACGAACCAGCGGACCTCACGAATTTTTCTATGTGCTTGTTGTCGGACCTTTGTATTTGGTTTTTCAACGACTTTTTAGCCGTAGCGCCATCTATAAGAAATCTATGAAAGTATTTCGTCGAGTTTGAGTGAAGAATTAATGATTGTTTTTTTGTTGTTTATTCGATTTTTGTATCAAATAAATAAAATAAAATATGAATATCAATCATTACCATGATTACTACCTTACCACCTTACTTACTTACTGATTATACTTTACTACCGTAAAAACATCATGATGTTAAGACCAAATAATATTGCAATTAAAGTTGCGATACGGCTGAGTGAAGAAACTTTCATAAGCTTGTGACAGATGGCGTTACGGCAGAAAAAGCCATTTAAACCCAATTACAACTCGAACTGTAGCTCAGTTGGTAAAAGCGGTAGCCACGGTGAGGCAACAGATGCTATTTCGAGTCCCGACGGATCGAAGAATTTATTTGTTCGGTTTTTATGTCAATAACAATAAGGGTTCTATAATATGAAGGCATTTATTTTCTTTAATAATTATCATGATAATTGTCTGATAATTATTCGTTAATTGTCTACGCTGATTCGTAGTGTTTATTGTGTCTTTAATTTTCGATTAAAAATGACAAACGGTGAGAGAACTAAATAAAGACGAAGAAATATCTGAGAAAACGATTTGCTTAGGACTTTTTTGAGATTTTGACTCGTTTGAATACGTCACTAATCACGGAAACAAAAACACAACACGATATTGGTAGGCGGTAGCATTTTGTTGTTTCAATTAATTTCACAAATATCAAGATAATTATTAAATTACGCAAGGCGAAAATAATTATAAATATAATGGTAGTAAAAACATCATGATATTCATTCAAATAACTATTGTCATTTAGACATTAATACAACTGTCTCTGTAGCGGGACGGTTACCATGCTGATCTGCCACGCAGTGGTTCCGGGTTCGATTCCCGGGCCGGGAGAAATATTTGCATGGCCAACATTTATTTGAGTTTGGGTGTAAAATGTGGTTGTCTATGTGTGTGTCCATGATACCCGCAACACAGGGTTTCCCCTAGTGCGGGGTTATGAGTGTGTGCGTTATTATTATTGATACATCTAAAGTCCTCCGTTAGCAATAGACTGTAAACATTGGACGATACCATCTCTAGTAACTAAGACCATGCACTAAATTAATCAGGACTTTACAACGTTTATTAATAAGCAGAAATTTTGATAATTCTCAGATGGCGACAGAAATCAGTTGGTGAATGAAGGTTCGACCTTGAGCCCTACTCTCAATGCACGACATCCATGTTCCCACTGTGGATAAACTACAGGTTTGAGTTTCGACGGTGGCTAGAACTAAGAATGTTTGACAACGCCATTTGACAGTTCGAACGGGCAGTTTGACAGTTTCAACAGAAGCCGTCTTTTCGTTGACGAACTTCGAGCGGAGTCCCGTAAATTATCTATCTGGGAAAACGACCGTAATTACGGATGTTGTGCTTCGAGGGTATGGTTTCAGCTCTTGAAAGGGATTTATTAATATGAGTCGAATATTTTTCAGTTTAGAAAAGTTCAAGTAATACACAAGACGTAGGTATACTTACATGCATGAGCAGTAAGTATCTGCTTATAATCCAGGTCTCCCGCCTGGTCTTGCGGCAACAGCAGCCCATACTTCTGTTCGAACGTGTGACGACTGACCAGCTGGCAAAGACGCGCCATCGCCGCGTCATGGGCTCGCATCTGGTTAAAAAAGAATAAACATTTTCGATTGGAATGTGCTGTTTCATTAACTATTACTGATATTTGCTTTTTACGGCTGTTGTATCGCAGGAAAACATCATTAATATTGCTTAATCATTTAAGAACATCAGTACGATAATGTCTTAAGAAGCAACATTTTCTCAATGACAATTTTTTAAATATAGCTTTTGACTCACTAAATGAATATCATTCGTTAACTGTTTCTTATCATAGACGTGATCAATAGTTACGGAAAACAATACATGTCATAAAAGTTGAGTCTGTTGATAATCATCCTCGGTTGCCCACACCCACACTTGATCTTCATTATTTATTTATTTTATTAGGGTTGTCACTAGACCGACACACAACTCATGACATCCGGCGCGACTTGTTGTGTCGTGTGTCGGTCTAGTGACAACTCGCGGGTAGTTAGAAAAACTCGCACAGCTAGAAGATCCTGACACCCGCCTCTTCCCGTCCAGTCCCTTCGAGATGCAATACCTCCGAAACGTCAAGGTAATTAAAATGTTTTATATATGTTTAAGTCCCGAATTAAAAATCAAATAATGTGTGAAAATCTAAATCAAAGAAATAGGTAACTTTACGTAATTGGTAGTGCAATGAGTATAATTTCTTTGCTCTGGTACTCTGTACTGGTACTAGTAGTACACAGTATGCTTAGTTTGAGATTAAGTAATTGGTGTGGTTGTCTGCCATATTCATGATTACTAATATTATAATCAGTGTTCTTCAGACCCAATATACAATCGGTTGTTAAGGCAACTCTGCAATGCGTCTTATTGTGCATCTGGTACTACCTAGTATATAGTACCTGATCAATAGGCAACACAGCTGTGAGCAAAAGATCGGGTGCTATAGCATATGCTGGTAACACCAACCCGGGACAGTCCAATAATACTATATCTTCATCCAAGATTAGGGTTTGGATATGGCGTGTATGCCCCGGCATGGAACTCACGCTTACCTAAAAAAAGACGCAATATTTATTAAGTTTTATGAACATAAAAAGAAGTAGGGTCAATGGATGAGCCTTGTTGGACTCCAGTTTCAAAAAGGTATAGTTATGTCAAACATACAGCTTTCATTCACTTGTTATAAGTTCCATAAAATTAACTGGCTCAAAATATAAATCAATTCATAGCATTATATCAATAAAGGATTTCAATGTTTTAAAGTAAAAATAAGGATCTCTAAACAGAAATACTTGAGTTAAAAATATACTCACTTTTTTAGTCTGCATTAAAATATTTACAGTACTTGATTTACCCACATTGGGGTAACCAATCATTCCTACAGTCAATCTGGGAGGATTATTTAGAACACCAATCTTCTGTCCTTTTAAAACTTCTAACAGTTTTTCCCTGTTGAAAATTTCAGGCGAGTTATGCACATATAAATTATTATCTATATTTTCACAACTTTCTTTTTCTTTTTCTTTGTCATCACCAATTTGTGTGTCCTGTGCATTAGTTGGTACAGTTTCTATTGGTTTACCCAGTCTAAAGTTTTCTAAAACCTTATCTAAGGTTTCTTGTATCTTATCAATTTTATAAGCTGTGTTTGAAACAATGGTATTAAGATCTCCCAGTCGACTTTTAAACAATTCTATATCTTCTTCTGTGCTCTTAACAGCATCCTTTTCATCAATTTCATCTTCAGAGTCAAAATCAGCAGATTCTGCACCAGAATCATGTTGATTGTCTTTCTCAGAAGTTGTTTGATCACTTTCTTCAGAAATTTTTCTATCTTTTGAACTTTTAGCTGCTGAGAAAAATATTACTGGGACTTTCTGTAAACAGAAAAAAGCGATTTTTATAAACAAGAAATTAAACTAGGATAAAATAAAAGATAATGATACAGCACTTAATTTAAGCTGGCTCAGCTTAGAAATCAAGATCTAGTTAAAGGTTCCCACATATAAGCAAATAATATGTAGATGGCGTAAGAACTGCTAATGAACAAAAAAAAATAAGGTAACCCTGAAAAATTCATAATGATTTTTTTCACACATGTGACTTAGCACAAAAAACAGATTAATATACCAGCAAACAAAACTATTTCAAGTACCTCTTTACTAAAATACTCTGCCCAGCATTTCCTTTGATATTCAGTGGTCAAATCAGCTTTGTTCAGAAGCAATATACACTTGCAGTTGTGCTCTGATGCATATGTTTCTAAATCTGAGCATCTGTAAATAAATTAAAGGATCAGCAATGTTGTGGGTACATTCTACTATATAAATGAATTCAGTCATCATTATAATAATGTACATGAATATATTCCTCAAGATAGAGGAACAGACAATCTTTAAAATTAGGTCTTCATTCAAATGCAGCATTGCACATACATAGTTTAAAAAAAAATAATTATTCGTAAAGTGCATTTGAGCTCCATCTCACCTGATGGAAAGTGACAATGAGGTTGAAGATAGCATGTACACCTATACAGGCTGTATATTTGAAAGTGAGACATATTCATGCATGTCATAGTAAATCATGTTACAACTTAACATAGCCTAAAATAAAATAGGAATAAACTGATTCCCTTTACGCTGGATTTCGAGTGCATTGGGAATACTACCAAACAAGCGCCGAGTGAGACAGCAACAATAACAATGATTTCACATCTCTCTCTCACCTACTCATTTATGTTATGATGAAAAAGCTGTTATCGAAATGATTACGTTTTAGCTTATGTTAATTATTTTTTACTTATGAACTATCATCGAAATGTTTTACATACTAAAAAAGAGAATTAACTTATCATTTAATAAGAATTGAGGTTTTCGGCGTAGTTAAAAATGTGAAATCAAATTATTCACAATGATTGATTTTTTAGGTATTTACAGTTTATTTACACTTATGTGGTACGGAGCAAGTTCAAAATGTCCACCATTTTCCACAATGCATAGTCTAGCACGTCATAGTAAATTTTGTTTTAAATTTATCAACACAAACACATTTTATCTCACAGTATAAAATGCTGAGATAATCCTCTCAAGCAACAACTTCGACACTGTTCACCTCCTTCACGTAAACTCCAATTTGGGAACATTTCAAAAGATCGCCTCACACTATCACCACTTATTGTGTAAAGTCGCACCATCTCAGTCAATTCGACGTTAGAATAAATATCCATTTTGCAGGCAAGTGGCGCGTTCGCCGCCGGCGCAGCGTTCGAGCGAGCGGAAGTACAAATAATTTACGTGTCTTTGCTAGGCCAAGGTCGCGCGTACACTGTTTCTGCAAACAGTGCCGACCTGTGATTTGTTCTCGCCGCTGCGTCTGTTGGAGCTATAATAGTGGTGTACATAGATTTCGATAAGTAATGTTGTTCACAAGTAGTAGTCGATAAAAAAAAATAAAAACATATTTTTTTGTAAAGTTTCAAGTTCATTAGTTTATTATTTTATTGGGTTCAGAATCAGGAATATAATGCACTCTATATGTATGTCTCACTTTCAAATATACAGTCTGTATAATGTCCAGTCTCGCCATGAAAAGGCCCTAGTTATAATAGTTTAGGAACAATTTTACAGACAGGGGATTCCACTCCAACACCATATGCCATATAAATGTGGAAGTGTAGTATATTGTGTTAATATAGTTTTTTAAACAGTTCAAAACAAATACACTACTTGTCACCTAAACAATAAAGGATTCCTAGCATCCAGCAATATGAGTACTATATCAGATTTCTCCAATGTCCTCCAAAGCTGTTTCCAGAGTTCCAGGTTTCTTTCATAAGGTGTCAGAGCAGCACCAAGTTTAGCCTGCAATTCATTTAGATGACGTTTCCAGTTAAGGAATGATTCACGCTCTCTATTCAGCTGCTCTTCTGCTGTAATACCCGGTTGCCATTCAGGTCTGAAATCATAAGACAAAAATTTACATTCTCAAAGGTGTACACTACAAAAATGTTGACTATAAATGAGTATAACTGAAAGAGATAACTGAGCAAAAGTTTCTTAGCATAAAAACAAAAAAGAGGTTTGTAATACTTTAGAATACTGTGCGTGATAACAGGTTTCGTACCTTCACTATAGGCAAAAGATAAGCTTTAACCTAAGTATAATATTATATCAACATTTATACAAAAAGATAAAAGCATAAATTTGAAGAGGAATATACCTTCTAGGGACTGTCAGGGGCTCATCAAAGTTGGGCTGCGAAGTAACTGTTTGTACTTCTCTGGGTGCCAACTGTACATATTTCAAATTGAGCTTTTCTGCAGTGAATTCTCGTTGCGCCAGCTCAGCGGTGGAGAGAAACTCTTGGAGGGAGGACTCGGCGGTGACAGATTGTAAATTCAAACGGCCCCAGTCGTAGCCATCGTTTACTTCTGTTGTGTGCAGCTACGAAAAAGTTTTTTATCCATAACCTCATGATTACAAAATTTAACTGATTAATCGCCAGAAAGAAAAACAAATATTGGTTTCACGATATTGTGCAAATCTAAATCACAAAGTAAGTATGAGTATTGATATGTTTGCCGCTTATTTACATAGAAAATTTAATAATTACCATTGTGTTGTCCTCGACATGTTTACGATGTCTGTTTTTGGAGAATCTATCTTTAATCAGCGATCGGCCTAGCGAATCCTTGTTCTTCTTGCCCATTATTACATTCACTAACGAAATTTAGAGATAAATTTATGTGGTCACTCTTAAAATAAAAACCAATCGGATTTTGGATATCAAATAGCGAATGGTTCCGTGCGTGCGAGTCAAAGACACATTGGACACATGTTTTGTTTGACATTTTGACAAAGTTGTCACGATGTTTCCGAACGTTTTAGTTTTTAGCTAAGGTTTTTAGTCTATGTTTCTGAACTATATTAGGCAAACATTTCGTTACACGCAAAATTAGTTGCAATAATTTTCTCATATTTTCACATTTTGTACGTTAATAAAACTAATGATTTTTGTTATTGAAAAGCGATATAATGGAACGTGTTCCGTTTAAGGAGTGTGGCTCTGTTCTGAAATTTATCGTTTTTCTAACTAAAAACTTAGTGGAATGGTGTGTTTGTATAAATTTGCTTGATGGTTGCGGAGTAAATATTCATTGTTAACAAAAAAAGCACGACAAAGTGATGATGTCGGAGTATTACGACCAGTTTCATCGTTGGGAGCCCTTGGCTGAATTTCACTTCAATTTAGACGATTATGAGGACATGTACGACGATAATTACGTCTACTGCTTATGTAGCAGAGCATTTATTAGGTGAGTACGACATAAACATTTCCAGGGCACCTTGTTTTGTAAGTTGGTGCTAATAATTTAGACTCTTGATCATCCAATCATGTGTTGCACTTTAGCACGTGTTTATTTACACAATTCTTAACCATCCAATTCTTCGAGAAACTTGTACAAAAAAATACACTATTTTGCCCTCATGTCGTATTTTTGGTATGAAAATTCGTACTACATATTGTATAAGAATAAAAATTAACCAATTTTCTGGCTAGTTTTCTTTACCTAATTTCGATGGCTATTTTTATTATTTAAATTTTCTAGAATATTATCATGGAGCATTATTTAATATTCAAGTGTAATAACTTGAAATATTATTTAATACAGTAATATACTCGAGTACTTAAATAATAAAAATTGCCTACAAAATGGGGTAGATAAAACTAACCTGAAAATATAGACTTACTTTGGTCATAGGACATTTCGACCCCTCCTACATAAAGTATCGTATGTCGAAATTGCCCAGTTTACGTGGGAACGTTTTAAAGTTCTGAATTCACTGAAAGAGTGATCATCTAACCAATATCTAGTATTTATAATACTCGATGTGAGTAATGAGCTTTGACGATTCATTTCAGTAAATTCAGAATTTTAAAATGCTCCACTGTAAACTTGGCAATTTTGAAATACAATACTTTACGTAGGAGGGGTCGTCGTCGTTGTTCGTGCGTTTTACTATGTTGTATAATGGCTTTTTTACCACTTTTAATTTTACGTAGCCAAGGGTCTTGCTTTTAAAGCTTATTTTTACCATTTCAGAGATGGTGTTAAGACATACTATGTTGAAAAGGATGCAAGTGAGAGTGATATGGAGTTCCACAAAGATATACAGATGCAGGATTGGGAAGACCAGTCCCATGTGCATTTCTCACTTGATACTTCTTATAAAGTAAAATGCGAGGTTGGTAACTTTTCCCTCGTGCTTCATTATAGAAGTTGTTTATTCTTGGTGAAGATTATTTCTTAATCTACACACATATCATAAACCCTATATGGTGTGTTCAAAAACTGCAAATTACGACCAGCATAAAGATAAACAGTTTTGTTAGAACAAACTTCTTATCTGTGAAAATGTTAATTGCTTAATAATAACAACAAATTTGATTTTATTATTACATTCAAATTTCGAAAATCTCTGAAAAACAAAATAATTTGATTTGACCTCAATTCTAATACCAGTTGGCCAACTCTAGTTTGTCTTTGAATTTATAAAAACTACGGTTGCATAACATGCGTGAGAAAAGTTTTTATTTGCCGCCATTTCGCCAGTCGACAATTTATATTGCTTTACTTTAAACTTGATATTCCCACTATTCCTCAGCACTTGGCATAAAAATGTCTCAAATAATTTTTAAACAAGGAAAAACAATTCACCAAAAGCTTGATTGATGTTTTGTTACCGTGATTGCTGTGGTAGCATTATACATATATAAGTACATGAAGGGGAATCAAAGTTCACAAATATTTTTATTGGATTATTGATATATATATAAATTACTATAGGAGAATTTCTGACACTTAAACAACAACACTGAAAAAGTATAAAAAATAATCTTAAATATTTAGCCTTTAGGTATAAAGAATCATTTTAAATGAGATGACATTTTGAAATAGGTAGTGTTTTTTATAACAATAATATAATGTCATCTGCCAATTTATACATTTGCGTGAAGGTATCCTCTATTATTATTATTGTTAGGATGGCATATTCAGGACCTGTGCAACTGTACACCAATGTGATCTTCTACACACCCATGTTATTCACATAAACTCTTGTTAATTTAGCCTTACTTTAATAATAAGGATAAGTTTTTCACATCTTAAAATTCTACAGAAAGACGAAAATGCAAGCTGTTACTGCAGTGCATCACACACTGACAACTATTATTCTACAGACGAACATGACCCTGCTCAAAACCACTGCAGTTCTCATGCATTACAACCCAGTGACAGTGGTGCCGATCTCACATACCCTGATTACCAATCTGACAACACTAATCATGATAAACTTGAAAAGATGGATCAAGATTTCACCAACCAAAGTCTGGTAGAATCTAATGAAGATTACCTCTCAATAAACACTTGGGAAAAATTCTGGGCTGTCCATGGTGAAAGACTCATTTGGGCCTCATGGATAAAGAAATACAGTGACTACATAAATCCAGATTTTCTAGATGAAAACAACCATCTATTGATGGATGAAAAAAATATACCAAAGAAACAACACTCAGCAGACCTTATTTTCAATACTATTGAACAAACAAAACAGCAACAACCTGCTGAAAATGATATGAGGGAAAGGAAATTTTCATATGATTCTAAAGTTAATCCTTACAAGAAACGATTGTCCAATCAAAATTCTACTGAAAGAGGTGACAAGTATATTGAGAAATGCAACAAAGATGATGTGTTCGTACCTATAGGTAGGAGGCGATCTTGCTCTGAGCATGATAGAATGCTCAGTCCTAGAACATTGGCTGGAACAGACTCAATGACCAATGTAACTAAGATTACTCTGTCAAGTTACGACATATCATCTGGTCATGTCACATCTGAGTCTTCTCCTACTGATGATTATAGTGTAACATCCTCATCTTCTGACGACCCATCAAATGATCAAACAAGGATAGTAAATGTAAACGCTCCTTCAGAAGAACAAGATACAGATGAGTATTGGCAGTTTCTATGGAAAAAACATTTTGGAGAGCAATATGCTTTACACTACGCCAATTTTGTTGAGAGCCAAAATCAACTTTGTTATAAAAATGTACCAACAGTACAAGTTGTGGTAGTGCCTGAGAGTAAAGTTGAGGAAAAGGTGGGAGAAATTGAAGGTGAGAACAGTGAAGGTAATTCTCAAGAAATGCCTTCAGTTATTGAAATACAAGGTCAAGTTAATGACATGAAAATTGAAGACCGAAATACAAAGGTCGAAGGGACTATGAAAGAAAAAGCAACTGAAGTGATAGATTTTACGACAGGAGACAACAAAATTAAAGGTGAACAAATATCAAATGAAGAAAAAGAAACCAAAACAGAAAAGATCAGAACTCAAGAAAGAATTACGAAATATAAGAAACGAAACAAGAAAATTAATCTTGATAATCCCAGATACGTAGGCTCAGTAGGATATATATTACAAAATTTGTTGAAAGAAGAACAGGAAAAAGTCGGTACACAATCTGAAGTTTTAGAGGCAGGTGATGCGGATAGTGGTAAAAGTGAACCGACTGCTCAAGACATGGTAGATGGCGCTACTAATACACGTAAAGTACTTCAATCTGAGAGCAAGAGCGATTTTAGCCACTATAGCTACAATGAAGGAGATAATGACCCACCAGAGGAAAAAATGCTAAAGCTAAAAAGAAGGTACGATGTCCTATCTTATTTTTGTAGGTTTTGGCTTCTGTCCCACTGAAGTCAATTCTGCCAAGGAAAGATGTCTTTGCCCTCAGAGCCAAATTTAATTTATTATTACGTAAATAAAAGTGTAAAATTGTTTCAAAATAAAAGTGTTTCTTTTTCAGCCACGAACTTGATGAAGACGAAGAATCTGCAGAGAAGGTCAAAACAACTTTCGAGATAATGGGGTTTTGTTTACAAGAAGACAACATGCCTATTGGCCAAGTAGTGTACAGGAAGGGTAATAGAGCCTTGCGTCCTCCGCGTTCTAAAAAAATTGCATCTTTTAAGAAAACTTATTTTGATGATGATGGGAATCCTTATCAGATTGACCAGGTACGAAATTTCACATATAATTTCTTTAACATTTATTTAATTACGTGGAAAAACAGATTATTAATAATACAATTTCTTTTATTACCACAGGCAGATAGTCAAGAGGAAAGAGAAATGCAAACTGACGATGATTGCGTGGAAGTTAAATTTGATTATGATAAGGTATACACACCAATAGCAGGAACAGAATTTAAGAAACTCAATCAAAATCAAGAGACTGTTAATGAGAAACGAAACAGTACAGCATTAGAAGCGTCTAAAGTGCCATTTCCGGATGCAGAGACATCGTTTAGCGATTTCCAAGATGAAAGTGAACCAAAGCCTTTTGAGGGTGTTGTGGGGAGCATAGTGAAGCGTAGAAGGCGAGTAAAGAGAAACAGACTGGTCGATAACGACGGCGTTATTATCTCTGATATGCCACCTGAACTAGCAGGTGACCCTAAAATGAGAAAGTACTGGAGAAGAAGGCATTCGTTATTCCATAGGTAAGAAAATCATATACACTTTTGACATTATACTACATATATCATAGCTAAATTGCATAATGCAAATTTTTTACGTTAAACATTGATTAATTTTATTAATTCTTCGATTGCATTCTTAATGTCTCTATCATTTTAATAATATGGAATGTGTTCTCAGGGACAAATTTTGAATCAATATTTTTACGTTTATAGATTTGATGAAGGCATCAAGTTGGATAAAGAGAGTTGGTTCAGCGTAACTCCTGAGAATGTCGCGTGGCATATAGCAAATAAATGCGGATTCGATGTTGTTTTAGACGCCTTTTGTGGGGCAGGAGGGAATACTATACAGTTTGCAAAGACGTGCAAAAAAGGTTAGTACAATTCAATATTACAAAATGTCAACAAATGTTATTATTTTTTTATCACTCGTAAATATTAGTTATCACGTGTAGAAAAACCATAGGTGGTATTTTTATTACGATTGTACGGCCGTAGATGTAATATTTTTTTTTGTTAACGTGCTCGTACCCGCTAGAAGCCCGCCACCTCGCACTAAATTCGCGCAAATAAATATTTATTATTATAAAACTAACATAAATACTTACAGTCTTTATTTCATTTATCATTTTTCTTAAGATGTATCGTTGATACCATCGCGTACACAAATATAAAAGATTTTTGGTTTTATTCATATGTGAAGTCAAACAAAGTCTGCTAAAAAAATATTATTTATTTATATAGTATTATGGATAATCTTTAACGTTTTTAAGTCGAATTTTCCTTCTTAACTTTCCCGCACGTGTGATAAAAAAAAATAGTATGCCTCTTCACGCATTAACTGCAAACGTGCAGTGAATCTTAGCATTCTTATTGCCCTTGTGACACAATGTACTATAAAAACCTTGGCTTTCTTGTTTACTCGCCTCAAGTTCTTTGCCTTACAAATTTAATACAGTGAAAAAAATATTACAATATAAAAAAATTAAGGGGTGGTTACTTTCATGAGGAATAGATATAATGTTTTTATACTTTATAATGCACCAAGAACAAACGGCCGTATTGCTCAGTAATAATTCATGCCTTTCCACTGGCACTGGGCTAACAGAATTAATTAAAACTAAATTAAATAAAACTAAACTAAATTAATTAAACCATGGTTTTGCTTAAAATAGAATAAAGATATTTTAGGGCAAAACCACGTTTCGTACCCTTGGTATATAGTTCTAATAAAACCACATGTGATCATGTGTCAAAACTGCTTTTATAACACTAAAATCATAAGCAAATGAAATAAATAAATAAATACATGAAACAAATATGTGAAATGTTGAACTCCCCTATCTAGGCATAATATGTTATCGACTAATTTCGTTCATAGAATCTCCAAACCTCTCTCCTGAAAATTTGTCATTCTGGAGACGTGGCCTTATTACCTACACAAAGGGAGCTATTTGCCAACACGCAACAGAATCGTGTGCATATGATACAACATCTAGCATGCTGATGACAAATGATCTAACCTTCAATTAACATTATCGAAACATCGTTGTTAAACCTAATGCATTTTTTATATTATAGTGATAGCAGTGGACATAGACCCAGTAAAAATAGAAATGGCACAGCACAACGCACAAGTGTATGGTGTGGCAGATAGAATAGAATTTATAGTAGGAGACTTCTTTGAGTTGGCTCCTAGACTCTATGCGGACATGGTGTTTTTAAGTCCGCCGTGGGGTGGACCTAACTATTCTGAGGTATGTGACAATGTTTACTGTTAAGGGTAGATTCTTCACTACAACTCGCGTAAATTATCTACTCTTATGTAAGCTCGTTTCATGGAATGTAATGGCGGCGCTGTGAAACGCAAAAAAATTACACAATGTTTTGAGAGCCAGAGCATACTTAAACACAACTCAGTGACGTTATTATTACAGACTGCGTCAATGAAAACTGTACATTCGCATATCGAGTTCTTAGGTTTTCGCGATTGTTACACATAGGAAATTAAACTATTTTTCCGGATTTAAATCGTGTGTATTTTTATCGAGTTCTTAGGCTTTCGCGATTGTTATACATAGGAAATGAAACTATTTTTCCGGATTTTAATCGCGTATATTTATTTTTTCAAATTTTTTTTTCAAAGTTTTCTTTGTAAAATTAAAAATAAGGTATTTAATTAATAACTATAGTAACTATAGTGAAAAAATAGGGTGGTTTGCATCAATATTAGACATAACTGGTTGAAGACTGTACCACCTCAGTCAACCGTGACCATGGGACCTGTAAAGGGCCCGAAACGTCGGTTTGTTTGAAAAAACAAATATACGCTATTTAAATCCGGAAAAATAGTTTCATTTCCTACGTGTATATTTTTTTTTTTTCAAAAAAACCAACGGGTCCTTCTCAGGTCCCATGGTCACGGTTGACTGAGGTAGCCACCACCTCCTGTAAAGAGCCCGAAACTTTGGTTTGTTTGATAAAACAAATATACGCGATATACATTCGCACTTAACCGTTTCGAACCATTTTTATAAGGGGAGGTGAATTTATGATTAAATGCTTATGTCAGGTTTACGGCTTTCAGTCGAGACTGAAATTGCATTTCGCGTTCCGGAAAAAGTCGAGATTCTTTTTTTTTTAATATATAATAGACACACGCTTGGCCACAATCTCACCTGATGTTAAGCGACGATGTGACCGAATCTGGGCGGTCTCGAAAATACCGGGAAATACGAGACTTTCGAGACTATTTCAAAGTATTGTCCTCCTTGTCATAAAAAACGCATTTGAATTTTGGAACATACAGATATTGGCACCTAAAGTTTTTTTGTAAGAAAAATGTCGATTACGCTGATTTTGTTTAACAACAAAACTAAATAAGGTATTCAAAAACCGCTTAGGATATAAAAAAAAAACGCTTATAGAGGGTTGTTAATGATAAGGACGGCAGAGTAGATTTCCATACTTATAGGCTAGACGTTTAGGCAGTCAAAACTTGATATTTTAATCGAGTTCTTTAACTCAAATTGTAGAATCATTTATTTTTCTTTATTTATTTCATACATACATATACATATATTTACAGAACCATCCCAATACAATTAGTATAGCATTTTATAACATAGTCAATCACAAGACATAACTAAAAAAGAATCATTTTAAATTTTTATTGAATTGATATTCAATTATTTTTTGTGAAATTACTCTACTAGTTTGTTATAATTATTAATACAAAGATCGAACACCCAGAAAAAATTCCTTCGGTCCGGCCGGATTCGAACCGACGTTTTTAGCTTACCGTGCCAGACGCTATACCAACTAAGCCACGGAATGCATCAGCGGACCTCACGAATTTTTCTATGTGCTTGCGTCGTGTCTTTGTATTTGGTTTTTTCAACGACGTAGCGCCATCTATGAGAAATCTATGAAAGATTTATCATCCAGTTAGTACCTTTACAGTTACCAGTCCTGGCGAGAGATGTCGCTATTCGCTGTATTTTAAATTTTTATTGAATTGATATTCAATTATTTTTTGTGAAATTACTCCACTAGTTTGTTATAAGAATCATTTTTCAATTCTTTATGAAACTTTTTTCATTTTTATAGTGGGCACAAAATAAACAAAGGGTGTTTCGCGTGATTTCAGAGAGAGAAGTCCTGATTATATTACAATAGTTCTTCAGTCTGCACAAATTATACTAAGTGTACAGTGTTGTCATGTAAACGAGAATAAAAAAGGACAGTTGGTTTAGTAGGTTTTTAGTACTGTTTAATTACGTTACTAAGTCTCTGTATTCCCGAAACTGAAAACATCAGTTTCAACTCTCGAAAATGCCAGAAAATCGTCGAGACTCTCGAAATGTTCGAGTGATGACGGATGAATGGTTGAAAGATGCATACGTATTGTAGGCAAAGAAATGATCTACCCACCTCCCCTTTGTTTCCACTTTAAAAGATCGCTTTGACGCGAATTATAGTAGTAATAGTTGTTGTCCAATGGTAACACGGAAATCAACTTAGTACATCATCAGGCTGTGACTAACCAGTGTCACCTTAAAATCAGAGCAGACGCACAAAGACCGGCGACCAACACCAACTATTCAAAAACAACCCACGTCAGTGCCTTCGTCTGCCCCATTCTGGACATGTCAACTTACCCATCTAATATATAATAAACAATCTGTTGTGATAGTCACTGTTTTCGGCGCTGACCTTTGCCTTTACACGTTTTAGAACAAAGAATACGACATAGAAGTGATGCTGGAGCCTCGGCCGGCGTCGGAACTGATGAGAGTGGCACGACAAATAAACACCAACGTGACCTTGTATCTGCCCAGGAATACTCGATCTGATCAGGTGAGTTTTTTAAAGTTTATTGTATTTATTTTTAAAGCCTGTATTAGTCCTATATTGGAGTCCCTTGTTGGGCGCCATTTTTAATTTGTATAAATTTGCTCTTATTCCTACAAAATGCATTAACAGTATGTGCACAATTTCATTTAGCGTTACCTGTATATACTGTCGTACTGTTTGTCGTCTGTTTAAAGGTAAAACCACATAAGTGACATTTTCCACAAAAAGTTTTTAGTTTATATAGCTATGGTAAGAAAATCACTATTTTTCTGCACGTGAAACTCAATAGCAAAAAAAGCTATAAACTTAATAAGAGTTTTATCTGCAGAAAGATGGTGAATTTCTTACAACTGATACATAATTTGGAGATTTTTTTGTGAAAATGTCACATATGTGGTTTATCCTTTAAGCAGACTATATTTACGACGTTAACTTTTTCAAATGTATGTTTTTTTTTTGTATGACGGAAAAGAAATCTTAAAATTGATTTATGACATTTTTGTTCCAGATTTTAGCCTTAGCTAAAGAAGCAAGGGGATCTGTAGAAGTAGAACAAAGTTATCTCGACAAGAGATTTGTGGCGATTACTGCTTATTTCTATTAAAACACATTCTTAAATCATTTAGCTTCCATATTTCAATGTCTTTTCGCGATGAAACGCCTCATAGTTGAGAGCTATACAATCCGTATGCTTCCTAGAGGGCACACTATAAAGGCTTAACCGTGATATAGCGAATTAGAGTGTACTTAAGACAATATCCTGATTGCATATGTGAATTCGATGCAGGCACAATTGCAGTACAACTGCTGACTGGTTGTATTAACGACTGCACACTAACTGCAAGATAAGTGGCATGCGGGGCAGCAGTCGCATCGACTGCACATAAACAGTACTATTGCGGCGGATTTCGTTAAGCGCACTCCATCTGCATATACCCTTACCATCTGCACAAGGAGTGTACTCTTGTTTTTATGCACGGTCCATTTAACGCTCATACTGATATAATAATGGTGATGCCCATAAATAAAACGACGTTTTTACGTTACAATTACGTTTTACCTCAGAAATGGGTAAAAACTCCATCAAACGGCCCGGGTTTTAATTGGATTTCTGCCCAAAATCGTGGGCAGGATCGAATCATCATCGAATACGGTACTTGGTGTAATTCCATGCTTATTACCAATTTCAATGTAAAAAATCTTTTTATATATAATATCTACCCTGTGGATTCTCACTAATAAAGATGCACATTACGATTTCATTTCTATAAAGATCGATTCAAGTGCTTACGATTTAACGGCATTTGTTTCGATTTATATCAATGCGATTTTCAATCACTCCATTCAATAGAAATGCAAATCGAACCGTCTAGATCAGAAAGCAATAAACATTTTGTCATAATATCATTCCATTTGAACAAAACAAATATTTAGCTGTTAATAGGTTTTGCCCTCGATTTCGGGCGTTCATAGTTTTAACCTTATTTAAACCCGGCGTTAACAAAGCGCTGGATTAAAACCTGGGCGCTTGTCCATTTCTGTTGTACGTACGTTTTTGTACAATAATACATAAAAATACAGCTATCCTCTTTGAGCTTTATCCCAACTTCCCACGATGGCAACTGGGCTCGCTAAAAATACCTTATTTATATGCTAATAAACTAAGCAGGTGAAGAGACCTGACAGAAAGATAAAAGTAAACGGCTATTTTAAATTTCCCTATTTATGTAACCACATTATAATATGTGCAATAAAATAACGTGCAAAAATAACAGATATAACTTTAATATTTGCCTATTGCTACAAACATATTATTTATGTACGTACTTGCACCTGCCCCCGTAGCATGGCTTCGCTAATAGTTGCGGTGCGCTCGACAAAATTGAAATAAGCGCGCGCTACTGGCTATCTAAATTAGATCTAATTGAGACAGCTAATAGCGCGCGCTTATTTCAATTTTATCGCGCGTGTCGCGACTATCATGCGTAGCCATGAATCTACAGTTAAATTTCGTACTACTATATTTACAAAACGTAATTAACAGTAAATAGAATTTTTAACCTAATAATAATAAATAAAGGTATAATTTTTTTTATAAAAAAAAGAACTCGAATATTTGTAGAATCTACTATCTACTTGCCAAGTTTTATTGTAGTCGGTTTACGGAACGAGGGTGAAATCCAATAAACCGGATCCATCCCCTAATTTGCCACCCTTATAGATGGAATATTTTCTTCAAATCATAATGGGACCACTACTGAAGTACCACCTTTCCAACAAAAAAAAACAGTCATCGGAATCTGTTCACAAATGTAGGATTAATAGTGTAACATACACAAAAAAAAATAGAGTCACCACGATTTATTTCTTTCTGTTAGCACTTTTTAATTTTCCATATTCATTTGGGATTTTTCGTAAGGCTCAATTTGTATTGCGGCGGAACGGAATGGAATCGAATTTTTGTAACGATATTGTACATAGCATAATGAACTTTATAGTCAATTTTGTAACGTACAAACTACGAACTATGGTACTAGCCAAAATCTTCCGCGGAATGCGGGAGCGATTATGCTATGCACAATATCGTTACAAAAATTCGCTTTCATTCCGTTCCGCCACAATATAAATGAGCCTATGGTTTTTTTGGACCTCCAGTTGGAATGGTGGGCAGTTGGGACAAAGCCTCGCTTTAGATTACTAAAACAAAGAATGACTGAATATTCGCTCCTATGAGTGAATACTATACTATATACTGCAATACGCTACCGTCTACTTGTGTAGTTTTTTCCACGTATTGGATAATTAAATTCTGTACTTTAATCTGTATAAGAATGTTTGATAGACTTTTGTAATAATCAATACTGTAATCAACAGGCATGAAACTCGTATGATTAGTCAAATTTATATCTAAGACCATTGCCAAATTATTACATCAAAACTTAACTAAATTAGTATTAATTTTTATTTAACAACTATTGCACTTTCTTAACATTACAAGGCGGTATTAAACTGAATGGCAATGACCCCTTGTGAAGTCTTTTTTTTGTACAGTCACAAGCACGTTAAGCTTGACACTTTGACCTTGGGACAGTACTAATCGTAGGGGTAATAGAGCTGAATTTAAGTGTTGAATGCCAAGCTTGCTTGACGTACTCTTGACCTTGTAGAGTCAAAAACACATCAAGCTCGACACTTTGAACTTTGAGCAGTTCTAATCGCAGAGATTATGGAGTTGAATTTAAGTCTTAAATGCCAAGTTTGACGTGCTCTTGATCTTGTAGTCAATAAAACACATCAAGCATGACACTTTTGATTTTGGGCAGTACTAATCGCAGAGATAGAAATAATAGAGTTGAGTTTAAGTCTTAATTACCAAGCTTGACGTGCTCTTGACGCTATAAGTGCTTGTATTGATTTAAGATTATCGCTCAAGTATATATTTAAGTAAAACGTTGTATTAGTAAAACGCAATTTAAACACAAAATATCTATTTATAAATCGTGCCAAAGCATTAGAGTCTTTCAATAATATTTTTCTTCATATACTAATCTTCATTATAGTGTTATTTTATATATAAAATGTCCTTCTATATAATAATTATAACTGTTTATATGCGTAACAAAACTGAAATAATATAAGTAAATAACCGACTGTTTATGATACCTATACCTACAAAAACCTTTTGATACTTAAGGGCCGTTTATATTAGGCTATTCTTTGTGTGGTCATTTTGCGCAACAGTTTAGCATAGTTGGTTAATTAATCAACTTCCCTTAGTCAGTGACTAAGAGTGAGAGTAAACCAATCCTTTCTATGTAAAAAATTGTAAGCCCAAATTCACTACTTTACAGAAAAATGTTTTAATATATGAATCAATAATGAAGGAATTAAATGGTAATTTCCAGGTTAGTTTTCTCTACCTAATTTCGGTGGCAATATTTGTTATTGAAGTATTCGAGTATATTATCGTGAAATATTAAAAAATATTTCAGGATACTACACTCGAATATTAGGTACAGTAGGTAAGTACGTAAACTTCATAACAATATTCCAGAATATTTAAATAATAAATATTGCCACCGTAATTAAATAGAGAAAACTAACTTGAAAGTTTCCCTAAAATGAGCATAATACCTGCAAGCCTCGAGGTATTGCAGTTAAATTTGTGTCCTACTTGTTGTTTTTCTATACTTTATAATTTTACTGCTGAGTATCATAGACCTCTATCATACTAAATTCATAAATCACACAAAAATAAAGTGATTAATAAAAAATGCACCTATTTTAGTGGCTTACAATAGATTACGCAGGGAAACGTCTTCACACATTGTAATTAGCATAATTTAAATGGGGCTTCAATATTTATCAACATAGTTCTGTAGCTTTCCAAAAGCTGTAAAACATAATATTGATATTCGTCAACAATGTGTCTTTAAAGTTTAATGTCACTCTAAACACTGTTTAGACCTTTATATCTTGGCGACGCTGAACCGTTATAGCTCTAATAAGACAGTATTACAACGCATTTCCATTATGCAAGTAGCTAAACTCTACGTTACAAGTTACGAATATGGCATTAACCACGCTTATGAACGCACAAGCGGCTTGAACCGGTCACACCGACGCGATGCGCATATCTTTTCGCTTTTATTACATGGACGTAAAGCTTTTTTTTACTGAAAGCGAGTGTGTTGACTCCTTAAATCTCCATGCAGATTTTTGCGCAATGGAAATGTACCATTAATTTTTTTTTCAACACAAATATATTGCATTCGCCTCGTGTTCAGCGCGGCCTAGGCATTTCTAATCAAATATCCATGTCTTTATGAAAAATATTTGCATTTTATTTTGTATTTTCAGTCTCTTTGCTTGTTGCACTTTGTAATTTGTGATATATAACGCCTTAACAACTTATCTGTGTCTAAAAATGTTAGTGAAAATTAGAATTTAGCGTTTAATATGATGAAAAATACCCATTTATATAGTCCATTTGTTTAGGTACTTAACTAAATGTAAACAATCTTGATACATCTTTTTATTGAAACACATGCTTTACGAATCAATAGGTACAAAAATAGACATGCAATTTCATATGAAGCTAAGTATTTGTATTTTGTATTTGAAGGTAAGGGAAAATCATTTTATAAATGTATATTTCATTAAATAGACATCTCAAGATTGTTTACATTTATTTAAGTACCTACCTAAACAGAAGGACTATAGTAATAATCATAATTGGTGACGATTGTATTGAGCATGTCGCCCTCTTTAGAATAATTACTATAATTATACTCGCACAGCAAAGACCTATGATTATTTAGCAATTTATGTTTGAACATGGAGAATAGCCACTTAGCACACTGAAATTAGAATAATGCACGTACATGGCTTTCTGGCTCCTTTACCCTGTGGTAAGTCCCCGAAGAAAAGGCGGAAAGCCTCGTCGTGTCCCGAGGGCGGAGGCTAAGCCGGCACCATAGCGTTGCTCCGAGCACATGTTATAGTGTTAAAAAGGCAACTCGCCTAGACTCTTGGTGTAATGTCGCCACGTTGTAGCTTTTCTGATAAATTTCGACCATTGTAAATATACGCAAGAAACTTTTTAAGTATGCGGTTTTGTCAATTAAAATTATTATTAATAATAGTAACAGCATTATGAAGTAAACATTTTTTATTAAGCTTCATTTACAAGCAAAGTGGTTATTTTCATAGCGCAAAGACAGTTGATCAAAACTACACACAGTATTTAAGTGTGGAATATAACGAAAAATAACCTTAGCATGTTGAAACAAGCACGTCTATAAATGGGTCTTTATTGCTAAAATTTTTATGTATGTAGGTACCATTGTATGTGGCACTTTTTTGCTGGTAGTAAAAGTGTTGAATGCAAGTGGAATAGCTTATTTGTGGACACACAGATAAGTATGCTATGGTTGTAATTTTATGGATAGCATTTGTTGTAATTACGTAGAACTTGTGTGAATAAATGTTGTGATTTCTGTAAATAACTGTTATTATATAAACAGTGCATTATCACCAATTTTTTGTTTTATTTTAAAGCTAAAAATACCTATTATACAGTCATCAGCTTGCTAAACCGAGGCTTCAGGAGGCGAGTCAGTAGCTTGCTAAACCGTTAGTTGTTGATGAGACGAAAGATGTGTCAGAATCGTATCTAATGGGACGCTGGGGTCTCTGCCTACCCGAAGGGAAAGGACGTGCAGTATATCGTTCTTAATAACACCTATTTAAAATTTGCTATCAAAATAAACAGCTTGCCAACTTACGAAGAAAAGCTGTTTCTGCAATCAATAGTGCCAGACTAAATGCTTCCTGTTCTGCACAAATGTGTTAACCCACAGAAAATCGTAAAATGAGTTATGAATGCAGTCTTATACCTTGTAATATAAAGTTTAATATTCTTTTCAGTAATATATTTAAAAAAAATCGTAGTAATTGTTAAATAAAAAAATTGTTTTCACAAAATCTGGTTCGTCTCATAGGCGAATTTCGCAAAAATGTGTTCTGTGTGGTTAAACCATAGGCGAATTAAAACACATATCTTTCAACGTGGTTTGAAACGATTTAGTTTAAGTAAAGATATAGATTCTGAAACTGAGGGTTGGCCGATGAGAATAATCCTTTTACTGTTAAAATAAGAATTTGGCTAATGGCGCTCTTTCGAGATATTTATTGCGAAAACTGAAGCTTAATTGGTTTATTTCAATCTAGAAGAAAAGGAATGAAGGCGAATGTGAGTAAGCCGATGGCGATGGTAATTGAAAGGGATAAAAGTGGAAAAATGGGGAAAGATTGGTAGCGAGAGGGTACAAAAGGTGAAAGAATTTGTGTAGAATATATTTTATGTAAAGAAGGAGGCAAACAAGCAGGCGAGCCACTTGATGGGAGGTGGTCAAAGTCGCCCAAGGACATTTGCAACATCAAATGAGCTGCCTATGCGTTGCCAGCCTTTTAGAGCCCTGTAAACACGCTTTTGAAGAATCCCATGTCATAGCACAAAGGAAATACTTCAGGGGGAAGATTATTCCACGTGTTGCAGGTTGGCGGGAAATGTGATGGTGGAAACGAGACGGTGGCACCAGTTCGAAAAGTTCTTCGGAGCACTCCCCCTTGTAAAGACAGTAAAACACGCACAGAGAGCCAACGTCTATAGGCTAAGGGGCTCCATACCGTCTGCGAGTTTGTGATCATCGACAATACGAACCGCCCTACGTTGGATGGAGTCAAGAGAGTCAAGCTGGTATTTGGGAGCTCCTGTCAAGAGATGCGAGCAATACTGCATATGAGATCGTACTTGTGTTTTATAAAACAAAAGTAAGTGACCTGGTGAGAACTAGGTACTGCTACGAGCTTTTTAGAAGCCATTTTGGCTTTGCTCTCCAAATGACCCCGGAACTGGACTTCGTTCATGATGTCGAGTCCAAGTATACCAATACTCTTAGAGCTGGTAAGGACAAAAGGATAAAGGTGTTCTGGAACTTTGGCGCTATTACAAATGGACATTTTTAGCGGTGAACGCGCACACTCGTGTCTTTGCGGGGTTAATTTTGACAAGATTCTGTCGACCTCTTTCTGAGACCTGCTCCAAAGAAGTCTCGATTTTGGACAAAAGTTGCAATCTGTTTTGTTCCGCTTGCTTTTATATATTGTGTGAGCATTGTCTCCGAGCACAATCCGTCCACAGCAACTTTTAAGCCCTGCTCAGACAAGAAGCTGGCGATCCAAGTGCCTTTTGGAAGCCCGTAAGATGGTAGGTTCGATAGTAGTGCCTTGTGGCAGACTCGGGTCAGCTCACGGCCATTGCTTCCCCCTTGCTCTCGATGGCAGCTGTTCATTGGTGCCTGAGATGCAAGATCACCAGCACTACGACCGCGGCTATATTAATAAGAATTGGTTAGTGTGATGATATTGAACGGAAAGTAATAATCGAAATCAGGTAAATGGAGCTCTGTATGCCTTTATGGGTGGCCAGAACGTGTCAAGAAAGTGCGGGTTCCAACTCTGGTGTACGGTGGAGAGTATTGTGTGACAGAAGAAGCATGAAATTAAGGTAAATGCTGTTAGTATAAGAGCTTTCAATAGTACCCCCGATTGTTACTGGTCAAAGAAGGTCTATTGATTATTGAAAACAAAACACGTTGACTGACAAAAATAAAACTACTGTTACTTGGTTTAATACGTGATCACTATGAAAACGTGATTTCTCAGCTTTTGCAAGGATTAAGTGACACTTTATGGTACTTGGTAAAAATGTGTTAACCACCCTTGACATATAAAGTAATAATTTTGTTGATATATCGAATTTTGCATAAACCATTATCGTTTAATTACTAATCATAAGTTTGTTAACTTAAAAAAATAAAAAACTGATCGTAATGCTTACTTCGTTATAAATCTTTTGATATATAATTTAAACTTCATTAATTAAATGAGTAATGACAAATAGTTGCCAAAAATCTTTAACACTCAATATCTCGAAACTGTCATTTTGCGGGTTAACTCATTTATGCAGAACACGGCCCAAATACTATTGTTTGATGAAAGATAACTGTTCTTTGTTGAGCTTTAGTAGATAATCGGACTAACTTCTACTAGTCTCCTAGAGAAATAAAACACATCAGTAAGAAATACCCTTTATATTCTAGGACTGGAATCACATAGAATGTTTGACATTACCTATTTGGTTTCAAATTCGTTTGAATTTGAAGAAACAAAAATTTCTTTTCAACATTACAGTTGGTTTTTATTTGCAATACAGTTTTTAACACAAAAATCTTTGAATTGTATCTACTATTTTATCTGATAGCATTATAAGTAAGTAAAAGTAAGAATCATTTATTCGTTCATTTTCACCCATCATGTAGTCTAGATACTATAACACTATTGACTACATGTATTGTATAACAAAATTAAATTGCAATTTGTAGTTACAATGTTTTTTATTCAATTACGAACTAATACATATATGATAACACCATGTAACACGATTTTTGTTTCAATATCATTTTTTAATTGGTTTCAACATGAATAAACTTTATTTCTCTGCAAAAATCTTGCTTTTGTGGTCAGGACGACGAAGTTGCAATTGCGTACCATTAAGGAATAGAGATGGGAAACTGCTTTTTTTTTGTGTTGTGATTTTTTAAAAAGCGTGCTTTTTTAAATGCATTTCACTTAAACGCTTTTTAGTCTGAAACTTACAAAATTGTTTAGAAAAACGTTTAAGCGCATAGACTTGTTACTGTTAAAAAAAGCTTGCAACATTGTGTTGATAGCGAAAAGCAAGAGTAGACCACTAAAGGTTTTAAAATAAGGAAGTTTATTTGTAAAACATGAGTTTTATTTTTATTTATAAAATTATTATTCATTCATTGATCAATTAATTTGTTTAGGAAACATAGATGGCGGGACTTGAAACATAAGAAGTTGTTAACACTTACGCTGACATTGAAAAGAGTGTTTGTATGCTTATTTTAAACAGCAAACTTTTTAAAGTGTTTTCGTTTAACCTCCACCTCTATTAAGGAAACACACAAAGTTTCTATTTATTTAAATACAAATAACGAACATTAGGATATTTCAACTAAAATTTTATAAATTCATAATAAAGTTCCTAAAAATAAGTAGATTTTCGAGATTATGTAAATACCACTGTGACAAAACAAAGTTTCAGGGATATAACTACTGTTTTCTACATACTTGCTGCTCAATTAAACAGAAACCAATACTGTCAAAGCAAAAAGAACCTTATTGAAAATTTGTTACATAGTATAATCAGTTCTTTTTCACTTATTAAAATGTGTTACCTTGCCACCATACAGTAAGTGGTTATTCATGAGTTAGAAAAAACACCATGTAACATTGTTATAGTTGATGGTAATAGGTATACAGGAGTCATTTTTGGCAGAGCTGGGCTGGTGAACTACTAATTATGATTGTAATTACAATGACAAATTAGCCAACGATGGTTGATTGGTTGTTGACTATAATACAAGCTTCATTGTAAGTTATAAAATAGCTTATTCTACCTTAACATAACTTAGGCTCGAACAAGTTATTCTTTCATTTCTCCTTCCTCATCTTCTTCTTCCGCTCCTCTTACATAGAGTACATTATTGCATCTGATTAATACTTCTCCGAGATTACCTGAAAAAGTAAATTACAAATTAATAATGTAATACAATGTATGTTGACGTGAATAGCATATAATATATCAAGTGCACAGTAGAATGTTACCAGTAGCTGCACATTTGCGAATTGTGGGCCGCCAAGGACATGCAATTGTTTTTACATGTGCCTAGGTTTTCTTAAGAGTAAACTTGGGCATTTTAAAGGCAAGAGTGAATAGGGATTAGTTAAGTGTTCAGAGAGCATGCTCAGTTGTCAATATCATTGTCACATCATACCATCAGGTAAGATGGAGGTCAAATGAGCACTTATATTTCTATTTAAAAAACCAACAACTTGATTGACACTAAGGAATTCATGACTATTGGATTTGAGGGGCTATTTAAAAAATATATCAAATTAATGGAGATATACAACACTTATTACAAATTACAGCTGTTAAGAGTTTGTCCAGGGAAGTCCTGCCACTTTACCTATTTCTGCCACCAAGCAGTAATGTGAGCATTACTGCATTCCAGTTTGGAAGGGTAAGGGTGCTGGTGAAATTACTGACATATGGGACTTGTCAACTTATATTTTTGGGTGATGGGCCCAGTGGTAGTACCCCTAAGATCTTTGCTATTTAAAGCTCTGAGTGGCACTGCAACTGTTATGGCTAGGAATGAAGAAAAAAAATTATGAATGAAAAATCCTTATGTTGTGGACAAGTACCTCATCAACAACTGCTTTCTCTGCTAGACACATTTGTATACCAGGCATGCATTGCATTGCCACTGTAAGAAAAATCATATTGTGGAGAAGGATATCTGGCTGCCTTTTCGCCTGTAGACAGATCCATTGAAACTAATGACCCACTCAATATTTTAAAATGGTTCTAATACTTCAGAAACATTTACGGGGTGTGGGCACAACAACTAATTTTTATCGCAATTCAATCATAGTAGTGGAACACATAGGTACCGATAATCAAAATAAATACAAAAATTAACTATTTATATTAAAATCATGTTATTCAATACCTATTAGAAAATTAATAGCGTTTTTCCTAACTACAAACTTATACTTTTTAAATCTTTTCCAGCAATTCTTTACATATTCGCCTTGAAAACATTGCAAAACCATTTGAAAACAAACCTGTGCAAGCACCGTCAATAAGTTCCTCAGTATTTGCTAGTTGCAGATTCATGTATCCATCCGCAGACACCAGTAAACCCTTGTACTCATGCCCCCACTTTAGTTTCACTAGCACCGCTTTACCAGTAAGGTTGTTGAGGAAAGGTTTAGGGTTAATGGGCATAGCCGCCGCCATTTTCGTGTATTTATCTGAAACTACACAATATTTATTAAACGCATGATGCGGAAAATATAAATAACAATAAAAATGAAATATTACCGTTTATTTTTCTAAATATATGAAGAAAATTCACTAAATGTGTGATGATCGAAAGACAACCTAAAACACAAACTACTATTGTAACCACAAATTAGAAAGATAGAGTACCTAAAATTTTTTTTTAAATATATTATTAAGGCTTTGGCAAAGCCATCAGCCTAAACATGAAGTTTAATTATGTTTCTGTAAATATGACCGCCACAAAGAGGATAGGCAATTTGAGGCGGCGTGCTTGGATTGACTCGGGATTCCTTAGAACGGGCCGATACGGGTATTTTGGTTCGAGATTCGTATAATTTCGCGTTTTAATCTTCGATTAAGGCACAATAGCACTATCCTATTCCACTTTAAACTAGATTTCACAAAATAATTGAGTCAAAATAAAAACGACACTTTTCCCTCCAAAAGGTCCAGAGCGAATCCAGAGTACCTAAAACCCTTAAACACAGAGTGAAGAGTGAACAGCAGTTTTATTTTTTTATAAATTATAAGTGCGCTACGCCGTGTCAGTCGGACATCATCTACGTCTCGGTCATTCCCCTATATAAGCAACACTGTTTGGTCTCGGTGAAGAACAGCAGCTGCGGTTTATCGGTTTCAAGATGATGGTGGACCGAATCGAGATTTGAGTGCGGACCTCGGATGTTAGAGAGGTGCACTTTTAGTGGGAGGACGTGCAACCGCTGTGTAAACTTGTTACCGTTTCTGTTTTTCATTTGTGTTTTAGGGAAGTGAATAGGCAGGAGGAAGGCAGTTGCATGCGGGACCGGTGGAAAAAGGGCTTGGCGGATCCCCTCTATGGCGCTCGTACCATAGAGGCGATCCGCCCTGTCCTCGTAGAGTTGGTAAACCGGTCCCACGGGCCACTGTCGTACCACCTTGTGCAGGTGCTGACCAGGCACGGCTGCTTCGGTCACTACCTGCACAAGGTGGCGAGGAGGGAACCGTCCCCGTCTTGCCACGAGTGCGGCGCTGCGGATGACACCGCGCAGCACACCCTAGAGGTGTGTAGCCGGTGGGATGAGCAGCGCCGCACTCTGACGGGGACTGTAGGGCAGGACCTCTCGCCGAGCGTGGTTGCCGCCCTGCTCGATAGTGAGGAGTCCTGGGAGGCGATGGCCTCTTTTGCGCAGAGGTTATGTCGCAAAAGGAGGCCGCGCACCCGCTCCGGCGCAGACGTACGGGGAGAAGGCGAAGGCAGTTCGCTGCTCGCCTGATCCCCTAGTGAGATCAGCGGGCTCTGGACCGGGACTCCGGAGCCTGCATTGCACGGCCTCACTCGTCTGGGGGGCGGGTCGGAGAACAACCGACTCGCTCCTCCGTTGGCGCGGGAGCCCTGGCGTAAGCTAGGGCGGCCGGGCGGCGTCGTGGTGAATGTTCACTGATCCCACGGCGCCGACTCAACCGGCGAGAGGGAAACCCGGGGGGGTTTTAGTGGGGTAGGCCCTCCAGTCTGGAGGGAGAGTCCCCACATAACCCCTGAGTCTCCCTGGGCTCAGGGGTATCCATAAAGATTTCCCCCCCGTCAAAAAAAAAAAAGGAGGAAGGCAGTTGAATGAGTCGTGTTCACTCAAGCCGCAAGCTCACACTGCCACATGAGGGTACAATCGGTTTGGAGACCACGGGGACGCCCGAACCCCACAGGAGATGGCCACCTGGTCCTCCCTTCAGGCCGCATTCCGGGATTTTTCGTTGGGTGGCGGGGCAGCCCTTCACGGGTGGCTTTCCCGCGTCGGCCAGCGGTGCACCGTGCTTCGGATCCTGCTAACCTCCAGAACCGAGTGCTCAGTATGACAGTACAAGCAGCTACAATTCGTCATCAGATGCAATGCAACTGTTCAGACCCGACCTCCTAATGGCAACTCCCGAACACGAGTCGGAACACGGTAAAAACCATTTGGCGACTCGACTGTGTCGGGAGGGTGGTGACTAGACACGGCCGAAGCCTTTTTTTTACCGGAGGGAAATCTTTATAGATACCCCTGAGCCCAGAGAGACTCAGGGGCTATGTGGGGACTCTCCCTCCATACTGGAGGGCCTACCCCACTAAAACCCCCCCGGGTTTACCTCCCGCCGGTTCAGTCGGCGCCATGGGGTCGGTGCACATTCACCACGACGCCTCCCGGCCTCCCTAGCTTGCGCCAGGGCTCCCGCGCCAATGGAGGTGCAGGTCAGTTGTCCTCCGACCCGCCCCCCAGACCAGTGACGCCGTGCAATGCAGGCTCCGGAGTCCCTGTCCAGAGCCCGCTGGCCTCACTAGGGGATCAGGCGAGCAGCGAACTGCCTTCGCCTTCTCCACGTACGTCTGCGCCGTATTGCTCTTTAGCTCCACCCAGGGGTCGCTTGTAAAGTCTCGAGGGTAAAACCTGTGGAAGCGAGAAACATCAACCCCCATCAACCCCCAAAGTTGCCAGGTCACATTTGAAAAAATCGGAAGATATTGCACTGAAAAAACAGTAGATTGAGGAAAAAACAGTAGATGCTGAACTTACGTTGTTTGAAACGCTTTTAGTCGCTTTACCCAATCGCAAAATCTGCCGGAGCAGTAGTGGTTCCATTCAAATTTGAAGAAAATATTCCGCCTATAAGGGTGGCAAACTAAATTTAGGGAAAGGAAAGAAATTTAAAGGATTCATCCCCGAATCCGTTTTCGCACACTTTCCGGTAACCGATTTCTTTATTCAGTATTTTATTTACTGCTGTAAAGCATTGAGTAATCAACGGATAAACTAAATTGCGTTTGACAGCTCTCATTCCAATACCAATACTAAACGTAGTGCTTAAAAGTTAAAATTCTCTTTGACAAATACAAAAAACTCGAAAGACAAAGGGGCGTTTTTTTAGTAGTATTTTTGGATAATAATACCATAGATGTTATTTCTCCGCATTTTCTAGACCTGTGATTGACAAATATACCGAAATACAAAAAAAAATGTAAGGACGATGTTTTACGATTTGACCACGTTGTAAAGTTTTGTAAAAACTCCGACAAATGTTCAATATGTTTAGAGAGTCACAAAATCTAAAAGGTCGACAAGAATAGTTGTGAGAAGTGAAAAATCTGAAAATTCCTAAAAAACATTAGAACAAATTCCTAGAAAACATTTTCGATAAATAACAGTAGAACGTAAATGTAGTCCAAATACAGTAGACCTACTAGTAAACCATTCCAATCTGTGGGAAAAACAGTAGACCTGGCAACACTGGTGAACAGGTGGTGAACCGGTAAAATATTGCATAAAAAAAAAACCGGTAATGAAACAAGAATTAATATATGTACAACTAAAAAATAAAAACGGCAACACCAAATTTCCCACGTTATCATAAATATCTAATTTGTCAAAAAACGTCAAAAGTTCACAATCTCGGAATACGTCAACACGTCAACAAATAGAGCGCTTGGTTCGCCAAAAGTGGGTTTCATGTATATTTTGATTACGTTTGATATAATAGAATAAAATCAATGACCCTAGTTGTTATGCGACAACATGTCTTCAACATTCAGCGGTTTCAGTGAAGAAGATTTGCAGCGAATCAAATTAGGCGAAACTGGTTCAAACAGCGGTAAATACGAGTTCATTTTAACATAAACCGTGTGTTGGAATATTCTACTAAAGCATACTTATAGTATAATACGCCAGTTTTCTTATGTTGTAGTGCTTATGTGCCTGTTACAACTCAGTACAAAAACTTTTAAAAGTTTTTTAGAAGTAGTACCTATTTAGGTCGTGGGAACAAGTATTGTACGGTCTCTTATAACTGTAACAGTCGTTCTGGTTTAAAGAAATTGCCTCCTTATAGAGCTAAGTTTCAAGAAGTTGTTACTGATTTGGGAATAATTATCATTAGCGAGATTATTAGCATTTGGGAGATGTAAGTAATGCTAGAATATGTGAATAGTTAGTTTTAAATTCATATAATTAGCATCTGATTTCTCAGAATTGTTACTTTGTGATAAATTAAGATTTTAATTATACCCTTAACCAACAAGCATGCATGAAAGCACTGGTGCATGTTGATGAGTTGAAAGATGTGTGTCAGGACCATTGCAAGTGGAAGCTGTTGCCTTTATCTACCCCGATAGGAAAAGAGCATGAAGTTTGTTGTTTTTTTTTTCATTCTTTCCATATAGGAAAAGGCAAAAGTTTGAAACCATACAGCCAAGACTTGGTGAATCTTTATTTTTTAAATTGTTCTATAAAAAAGGCGTACAGTATGACATTTTAAGGTAATTAACTGAAGGTGAATTTGTTTGAATAGAAAAACATATCAAAAACAAGTTGAGCTCTTTGCACAATATTGTCACAAATCATACCTTTGTCACAAATCAACTATATAATAATTTGAGTTGTATGTCATAAATGCATTTTAATGGACACATCTCTCATCAGTTGCTACACTGATGCAGTTGCACTTGCAATTATACAGTAGATGCATTTGAAATGTTTTTTTTTGGGTATTATTATATTCGTGCAGATTGTTCAAGAACAATCTGAATTAAGTTTTTCAAGATTCAGATTGTTCAAGAACAATCTGAATTAAGTATATCAAAACATCTGCAAGCAGATGTTTTGATATACTTAATTCAGTTTTGTCAAAAAGTAATCTGTGTTGCACCTAATAAGCAATATGTATGCTTCATTTTTATTAAATGCTTATGACCACCACGAACCACTCTGATCAGAGGAAATGGACCACATGGAATGTGCTCATATTTTTGTCTAGATGAACAGTTAAAATTGTTTTGCTACTGGCTGTTCTTAGTATCGTATTTATGGCATACATTGTATTATCACAGCTTAGAACTTAGCCACATTGATCACAACACAAGTAGCCCCCATACTGGAATGTGCATATCATATGTTTGGTACTCGCCGATTATGACCCAGGTATGCCAGTAGCCTCCCCATAATGACATACAAATCATATTCGTAGTACACCTGGCACACCAGTGCACGAAAGCGTGCACTCCAATAGAACAATTTGTACTGGCTTATACAAAGTGGACAGTTTCAGTGTAGTCAAACATTTTTTATAATTTACCAAACTCATGTAAAGTGGAAAAGTTAGTCAATGATACAATACTCTCTCTCTGTTTATGTGTATGTAGGTATGTATACAATAGAGTGTGCATGTGTGGTGTGTTTTGTGTGCCTGTATGTGTGCGTGTGTGTGTTTGAATCATATATTCTAAATCTTGTTCAACATACATCCACAGTGGTCCAACTTCTAATTATTATTTATTTTATATTACTTGTTTAGGAAAACTTAATGAAATAAAAACAAAATGACCTCAACAAATAAAAACTAGTTTATGAATACTAATGTATACATTGCATTGTGCATTGTGCACAATACAATGTATATATTAGAGTCATATTTATTTATATTGTACAAGTGACATAATTCTGAATGTGTTCTGTCCAAAATCAATATAAAAAGTCAATATAACATAATATCAACCACACACTAACAAATATTTTATATAAATAGTCATTCTAAAGATGTAATAATCAGCAGGTTAATTAAACAAATACTGTATATTAAGTTCCCATTTTTTATTATAATTTTATTTCATTTTATGTTGACAGGAAGCAAATGTGGATAACTAGTTGGGTTCTATGTTCAGTATGTTACAAACAAAGTTACATGTTATGGTTTTGATTTTAATCTAATTTTCAATGGTGCTGTGGTAAGCGATGTTTAGAAAAAAAAAATAGGAGTTGAGTGTTGGATTATTGTAAATTATTCACACACTAGATTTTGCTTAGCCCTGATGCTCTTTTTTCCTGATGGATTTTTTTTATAATTATACAAGTCACTTTAGGCACATTAATACAATCTTCTTATCTTTACATTATTACTATCTTCATTGGGTGTTTATTGTTAAATAAACATGAAGTACGTGTTTGTCAACAGGTCCTCGAATAAATACAACAAACTTCAAAAGAATAGAAAAATTAGGTGCTAAAACCAAGAAGGTTGTGAATCAATACAAACTTCCAGTGCTTCAAAAACAAGACTCTGACGAATCAATTGACAGCTTCTTCGACAAGTGTAAACTTAGTATTAAAACTCCCACATCGCCATCTGCAACTGAAGATACTATAAACAACAATGAACAAACTACTACAGAAAATGGAGGTAATGAAGAAGGCATTGTTATTGAACAAAAAGATGAAGAGATCGAAACTCCGAAAACAGAACTGGATAGAAAAAGCAGTAATACTTCAATAAGCAGGAAAAGCAGTTCAGACATAGCCCCTGACATAGTTAGATGTGTAGATAACTATACAGAGGATGAACTGGCAGCACATAGAATGAAGTTGGAGGAGCTACAGTTGAAGCAAAAGCTTATGGAAGAACAGAATAAGAAGAGAAAGGAAATGCTTTCTAAGGCATTAGCAGACAGGTGAAAGAAAACATTGACCTATTAATTACAGTACCAGTAATAGTAGACTTTCAGTCGAAAGCAATAAGACTTATTAAACACATAATTCTTAAGAACCTACATTCGACTTGTCAGATTGCCAATACAAGTTCAGAAAGAACGACTATAAAAGTTATTAACAATTTTGCGCAATACACTTGAAATTGTTATAATGATTATGACCTTGGTGATACAGAATAAATTCAAATGAATTAGTGCTACTGAACCCACATTGATTTATATACAGTTTGGCTACACAATCACACTTCATCACCAGTAGACTTGGAAAAGCCCTGTACGCAACTGTATATTTGTGTGCTTGATAAAAGAAAACCATACCTACCCTTTGTGTGCAGCTTAAATGGCTTTCGCTAGTTTACTCGCGTTAAGTCCGACCGCGTTGATGAGTACTTAATGTATGTGTTTGTTCTTTTACATTGTCGTAGTCTACAGGTCGCTGCTTTTCTAGAATAGTGGTCCAATCCAAAATAGTTCCTTTATTGACTTACTACTGAGATTTGTTCACAAAATACTAAATTTGATTGTGAATGGGACACCCAGCTTATGATTGGTTAAAATAATCACATGAGATTTGGCTTGGTCTACGATATGTGAATTTAGCATCTTCCGAATGAATTAAATGTTTTTAATGTAGGCCATTTTTCTAGAAATCCATCAATGTGCTGCTAAAATATACCAATCATCTCACTGTGTATTTTCTCGATGATATTTTAAGATAAAAACATTATCACGATATCTGGGTATTTGTTATCTTTATCTGATTCACATCAGTTTAATACAGAATTCGAAACTTTCGTACGTTTTGCTTTGCGTAAATAATGTTCCTTTTATAATATGGTTCACCAGAAATTCCTACAGCTTATTAGAAAAACAATATGGTATGTTGAATGAATATTTCTAATAAATTAGCCTATTAGTATGTCGTGTTGGATTGTGTAAAGGTTAAGTAAGAAGTTGGAAGCTAAAAAATAAGAAAACTTCGAAATAATTATTAACTGAAAATATGAACACTTTGTGGGACAGGAAATCTTCAACTGGTGAAATGTCGATAGAAGTAAAAGAGTGATTAATTATGGAATAATATTGGTAAATTTCAGGACAAAACAAACCGCAGAAGAAGTGGTTCGGCTAGAGAAGATCAAGAAGGAGTTGCAAGTATTAGATGGGAAGTTTACGCAAGATATCGCTGTTTTAAGAAAGAAAATTGATCATGCTTGCCTTAGCTACTCTGAATCGGAGTAAGTGTTAAAATTATTTATTATGTTTGTACGTAAATATGTAATCACATCCTTATTATATTTCAGAACTTATTTCTAAAAATGGAACTTGTGTAGTCTACAAACTGTACTTATATTAACACTTTTAGTTTATTGCAAATCGATAACGAATTATTTTCCAAAAAAAAAGGAATTGCATAATAATCTTATTACATTCTTATTTTTCAGAAAACACTACTTGAAGGTTGAGAAAGAGTTCCTACAAGCGAAGATTCAATTGCAAAAGGAAAAGGAGAAGAAAGAGCTCTTAACAGAGCACCTTTGTGCTTTAATCACACACAACGAGGCGCGAAAGGCTAAGAAATTAGAGACTTTGATGTTAGAACTCGCCAGTGACAATAAAACTGAGATTAATAATACTGAAAATGTTAATCGCGATGATGTATGGAATACGGATGACGAAGAAAAGCCAGTTGATGGAGTTGACCAGAAGATTGGTAAAACGGTTGACTTTACTGAATCATGAGTTGATATTTATACTACTAGATATTCTATGAACAATGAAACAGTTTAAACAGACGTAAAACTATTATCATGCGAAGTAAACAAAATGCCAAATTAAAAATCATCGAAAGTAACTAATTCCAAAACTAACAATAATGCCCTCTACTGTAAGTATGTGCCTTATAACTTGTACCTACGATTTTAACAGGATAGCTATAACATAAAAGTAAGATTTAATTTTAAGACATTTATTATGCAAATGTTATAATGAGTCATGCCGCACGACAATTAAAAGTAGTAAATATTCATTTCGGTCAGTTTTTTTACTTAGGGTACAAAACATAATATTAGAAATATTTTTGTAATTTTATATACATAGTAATTTATTCGTTAAATAACTTTTATACTAAGGTTAGTTATTCCTATACGAGATTTTAACTAGTTTGTAACAAAAACAAAGTAAATTAAACAAAATTGTATATTAACAAACATTTTAATCATTTTATTTCCTATTCATCAATACTTAACTTTAAAAAATGTAGATCATTAATATTATTAAGTAATAAATAACATAGTATCAATGCAGTATTTACAATATGTAAATAGTACAGTGAACGACTCTTCTTTCAGAGGCATTAACAACATAGGGAATATATCCTGTATACTCTTTGAATGCCGGGAGCGATAATAAGTCTTAGATTTTATTGGAGAACATCTACTTTGCTTTAAATAGCTATATTTTTCTGTTTGCATTAAGTAAACAATGTATATGTCAGTGCTGTAAGAAGAGCTTGTTTATATTTCATGTTTCAGTGATGAGGGTCTAGTCCTTAGAGCATTTAACGAACCGGAGGCACCACGAGTTCTAATTTCTAAAACTAAAAAGTGTGCCACTTTTACGGAGGACGAGGCAAGCACACAAATAAAATGCTAGTTACTAACTAACGCATTTCTCGGTCATGTACACGCTACGAAATTAAGCAACAATAGCGTGACTTTAAGCATAGTCTCTTTCACACAAGGATGCCGTTCTCATACCTTTGGCGGAGGGGTTGGCCAGTCGATGGCGTCTCCGGTTGGTTTAAAGCTTTAAGTGTCTAGTCACACAAGCGACAATCCAACAGCGAAGCAATGGTAGAAAGATGTTTGGTTGACCATTCAAAACGATCAAACAATTTGTGTGCGACTACGCTTTATAATTATCAATACTCAATTAATTCAAAATACTGATAGACTCAATTTAGCATCAGAAGAATGTTCAACGACATTTATTAAAGAACATTCTTCTGCCTGTGTGCTATCCCCAATTGCAATATGAATACTTCTTGTCGTGTTCTTTTAGTATTGCTCTGACGTTAATGTTAGCGTTTTGGAGTTCTTTCCTTTTTTCCTTTTCCATTCGTATGAGTTCCAAGCCTCGCCTCGCAGCACAGTGGTATCTTTGACTTAATGATGCTTCTGATCCTTTAATACGAGGTATATGACCAGTGTATCCTGCTATTGGTGGGAATTCTGGCGATATTGTGTTTTCTGGAATAAAATAAATTATGTTGTAGGTCTCAATAATGGTCCTTGTAGGACTCCACAAAAATTATGCTTTGACTTATTGTTAGTAGCATAGTTATTATTTGATATTTTATTGTACTGAAACTTTTGACAATTTAACGCATAAATTTGTTTTGGAAGGTTATGCAAAACTAGAGAAGGATCTCGTATATTGTGAGTAACCAAGTCTAAGGCTCCTGATTTTTATGTTACCTTTGTACTTATTGATTTCTTTAAATCTATTCAATTCTCTTCGTATTTCGTCTCTCGAGTGAATAGTTTCCATCTTAGGTGCACTCCTGGATCTGACGTAGCTTTTTGTCATGTCTGCCTTGCGTCTTAGCTCCCGTTGTTTCTCCGTAAAGTCCGCCATACAATCGTCTGCTGCTCGCCCGTAGGATTTACCGTATCTGAAATTATAATTTGGTTTGTTATATTTAACTGTAAAAAGATTGTATCTTAGGACTTTCATTTATAGATAATCATACAATAATTAAAAAACTAAATTATTTTCAATAAATGTCAAACAACTGCAAAATAATTAATGATTATGTCACTTGTACATATTTCGCCTTCCATTATACCAAACATAGACGTCTCGTTTGTCAGCTGTCTCCTACTTTTACTTTCTAGTGATTAGGTACCTGAAGTTCATGCCAGGCACGTATCCAGTATAGCCAATCATGTGCGCAGTTTGCCGGTTGCGTAAGCCGTCGTAGACATCGTGTTTTGGCCGGTCACACCGCGGCATGTTATTCAGCTCATAGTTGTCGCCTGGACGGTACTCCAGAGGTTTGCTTAAAGTTGATAAAAGTCAGCTACCAGGGGCCCAACTCTACTAATTTTCTTAAAACCACTGGTCCACTAAGATTATGTTGCATTTATCATAATATTTGTTATTCTGCTAAAACCTAGATGCAATGGCAGTTGAAACTTAAGGGAGCGTCAATCGAATGGCAGTGATCACATTCATTCATTCAACCATTAACTTTCTATCGTGATGTACTAAAACCATGATGGAAACGACTACGCATATCTTAATTTTTATCTCATTTAATCAGCAACTTAGGCTCAATTTACATTGCCGCGGAACGGAAGCGCCAATTTCGCGTCGCTGCGCAAGACGGCTCACGCTGGGGCTGGAATGCTCGAGTAATCGCGACCTTTCTCGCGACTGCGCCTTGAGGCTGTAGTATCATCGACATTTGACGTCACACTGCACCTGCCTTCGAGCCACTTCTCGCAGATTCGCCAGACGTCGCCTAGGCAGCTGCGGAAATTCCCGCGAATGCGCGATCATTCCCGAGCATGCGCGAGAATGCGCCGGAAGATGCGCGATGCACAATGAGCTCGTATGTAGTTTATACATTACAAAATTGACATAATATTCATTCTGCTATGTACAATTTCGTTAGAAAAATTCGCATCCACTCCGTGCCGCCGCAATGTAAATTGAGCCATAGTCTTCTAATTATTTTTTTTTGTCGCATAATTAGTAGACTACGTCATCGACGTACGGAATACAAAAATCGCAATGGCAGTTGAATAGTAGTTCGATGGCTATCCATTGAGAAGCCACTGAATCCTACTTTTGACTTTTAGTAGAATAACTAACGTACAAAATTCTGCCATTGACACTCACGAGACACAAGTGAGATTATTTAAATTTAGCAGAATTAGGGCCCAGATTAATTGTACCTATAAAATTGGGAATGGGTCTCCAAGAGAACCATAGTCCACCCCATGGCCCAATGCGGGTAGGGAACATGTGAACCTCATGTTTCCTCATCATGTCTTTTCTCTTTACACCGAGGTTAGCTTTCACATAACTCGGCTGTCCCTGTTCTGAGACGGTCGGTATTACGAACTGTGCGTTCGCATCAGATAATTATTGTCATATATTGTCGGAATGCGTCCTGTATATTTTTTAAATCACAACGAATGATAAAGAAAACAAATTAGTTTGACTAAAATATAAATACCATAAACTAATTCAAGTCAAGTCTTTGTTTTGATCCGTAACGATTTTAAGCATTATAAATTACTAGTGGAGTAAAAATAATCTCTTTATGGACAGGCTGATTACGTTTTATTATTTATAAAATTGTATTCGCTTGGCGCTTTTGGTTCCGGAATTCTTTTACCGAAATCCATATATTTGATAATAAAAATGTTAATCCACTTACTATTTTCATTAAAGATGGATTTAATTTTAGCGAAACTTTCTATCTCTGGATTAACTCCGACATGTGATCGTACCCTCATCCTCTAGTAATTACAATTATTAGGTATTACACAAACTTACTTAAACAACCCTTTGCTGCGTATTTCCCTCAGTATCTGTCTCGTGTTGTCTCCATAACATTTGCCGTAGCGGAATTTCAGCATCGGACAGTGTCCTGTGTATCTGTAACAAGTTATTAAAATTCCTTTAGTACTGTAAACTAATTTAATATTATAGTACGATCATTACTTTCGCCATTTTGTAGTAGTGACATAAGTAAAGTTATTTCGCTTTTCATCGAGTAATTCTTAAAACCAATCACAGATAACGTATTGTTTTGCTGTAGGCTCTACTCTTCAATCATCATCAAGCAACATCCACTCCAGCTTTCATATCTCTCCATTTATACATCTCTCCCGTGCCACATGCATGCCACGGCCCGCGGAAATTTTAACGTCATCCACACAACGAAGTGGCGGGCGACCTCTGCCGCGCGTATTGGTCCATGACCACCACTCCATGATCTTGTCCACCGATATGGATTCTTACCAGCTATGTGTCCTGCCCATTTCCATTTCATCGTATCCATTTTCCTACAACGTCCCCGACTTGATTATCCGTTGAATATCATTCCGTATCCGATCGAGCAATGTTGTTCCATTGCTCTCTGTGCGACTCGTAAGTTCTCTGCGGATTTCTTCGTCAGAGTCGTTGTTTCTATGTCATAGGTGAACAGGTAGGTACTGGCAGGACACACTGGTTGAAGACCTTAGTCTTAGTTAGTGTTTGTGTTTCGTAACTGTATGTAGTTAAGCAAAAAGGATCTAATCCATAAAATTACCAAAAAAATTAGTTATACGTTCCAAACGGTTCCTAAAGTCTAACTTCTTGGATCAGCAAAAAAAAATTCAACATATAAACATAAATAACCGCGATAAAATTAAATAAGCGCGCGCTATTCGTGTATTGGATACTTTTTGTTTAACTACGTCCAAAATATATTCGTATGTACTATTATTTATGTACATCATTATATTACACTATATTATAATGTTTCTATAGGTATATTATTTTCTATGGGCTTTCTAGAACACCGGCCTACCTCAAAATCAACTAAAACATCAGAACGATGGATTGAAAACAACTGAGGCATTTTTATGCGCAAAGCTGACGAATCGTATACCGCCTCATGTTATCAAATGCTTATTTTAATAATTGGAAAGAAATAATTCGCAATAAAATTTACCATATTCTGAACACATTAGTGTAATAATTTAAAAATTGACGATTTTCGTTTGGGCTTATATCTGAAATGTGTTATAAATGAAACTACAGGGTCTTTAGAAATTATTTTATTAACGGTTTATCGTGGCTAGTCATTGGGACAGTCCTCGTAGGCGAAACAGTATCCAGATAACAAATGTAGTACAAAGGGAAAATCGCAGTCGCATCTGGCCCACCCGCAGACAGCACCCATGCTTCTCGGCACAGGGTCGTCGCAAGTGCGCTGTGATACCGTCGGCCGGCACTCGCTGTCCACACGGTGCATGTTCTCCGGACACTCGTTTACGCCTATTGTGGACAAATTGTAAGGCAGTTAGTGAGTTTTCCGTTGTACAAATTGGACAGCGGTGTCAACCGTTATTTGCGCAGAGTGCGACGAGAAGTGAGCGTGTCTACAGCTTCGGTACCTACCTGGATAGTAGGGAGGGTGCTGTAGGTGCACCTGGACGGCTCACCTAAGACGCTAACTAGCCTTATAGAAAATCGGATAAAGTCCGTGCAAACAGGCTGATCTGGAGTTAGGACCTGACTGAGATTAGTAATAGGTACTTTTATCTCTCTTAGGTAATTTCACTAGTAGGTACTCTTAACCATCAGAACCGAACGCAGCAATGCTCACATTACTGCTTGGCGGCAGAAATAGGTAAAGCAGTTAAGAAAATTTTAATGATATGGGTTATACAGTTGCGACAATACATACCTATAATGTAACTTATAAAACTCTCAACACATTAACATTGTTTTCGCCATAAAGGTTTATAAACGATTACACGAATGAATTTATATCTACTAAAACAATACTTACAAGTGTAATTATATTTCAAGCAGCCAGGATCGTTCGGAATGCCTAATACAGGACTATTTGTTACCTGAGGCGCACTCAAAGCATCCCGAACAAGGCACATAATTAGAATAAATAGGCGCATCGTGTCTTTACCGTAAGGAAGTTTATGTCGTTATGATCGTCAATTGTTTTCAGCTTCGAGAAAATGTTTACTCCAGTTACATCCCTGTTGATTTCATTTGAACATTATTCACAATTGTGTGTCTGTGTATTGTGTATCGTATTGCCTTTTTTCCAATAGACAGGTAGGAAAATGTTTGTTTTAAAATAGTCATGGGAATAATTCCCTTAAACAAGAAACTGCATATACATAATACTGGTGCACAGCAGTAATTATGTCGAAAACCAAAGCTCCTAAGTGCTGTGCAGCACCCGCCATGTTTAAAAATGGCGGCAAATGTTACTCCTTTTCATTTGGGCTTTATATAATATTGTTAAGAATACTGTTTTCCCAGATTGCAGGCGGTTATATATTCGTTATTGCCAACTCTGACAACCATACAAACTCGACTTTTTTTTATTATTTCTATTTGTAAATTTTATATACATATATATAAATATAAATTTAATAATATATAAAATATAAATTTTATATATTATTTTTTAGAATGAACATGAACAAAATTGTTCATGTTCATTCTAAAAAATAATATTACGTTGTTACGTTCTGTTAATGAGTTCTATATCATTTTGTAATTGGTTCTAATGTAATATGAAAAAACTTTATATCCCTGCAAAAGCTTTGCTTTGTGATCAGTGCCTTTACCACGAAATTACTGTCACAGTTGTCGCTAGCGACCGCGTAAATTACTTCACAATTTTGTATGGCAAATTATACAGCGCTCTTAGCGGTCACAAAAAAAAACAACATTTTGTATACTAATATCATCGAGTATATAACCAGAAATAGAGACGAAATAAGGGCTATCAATCCCTGTCAACTCATCAGGCAAATGGCCTTATATCACTTTTAAATATGAACTCTCGTTTGCACTGAAATCACAAATTAGAAAGCTGAAATAGTACAGCGCCAACAACTGACCTGTGTGTACGTCTCCGTATATTCCAAAAATATTCTGTATTTATTGTAATAAAGATAATATCACTAACAATGGGGGGCTGTTCCATTCGGGGTGTGGGAAAAACAGCAAAACATCTATAACGGAATCACATTTCATCGGTAATAAACTATGTAATTTTTCAATTTTCGTCCATTATAGCAAAGTTCAAGTTAAACTGGTCGATTTAAAATGAAACAATTGATGACACTCATCAACTGTTTCAAATTCGGGCTGGCCAATCGGAGCGCAGTTGTCACCGTAATGATTTGGCAGGATAGTTTTCAAACAAATTAAGTGGTATTTCTTCGTCTAGCTTTCGCTAGCGTGAATTGTCACTGTAATCTTACGGTAGAGGCACAGGACAATGAAAAGTCGAAATTTGCGTACGATTACATATAGAAGGTACAAATTTTTCAGGTTTTTTCGGGTTTAAAGCCAAAACGCGAAATAATATGCCACACAACCACACCAATTGCCTGATCTCAAGGTAGGGAATTACCTGTAAGTACTATGAGTACCAGAGCAACAGAAGTCACTGCAAGGCACTTCCCAGAACATCCAGACCAGACCAATTTAGAAAAGTTCGTTCCCCAAATTAGTCCAACTCGGAATGATATTAGTAGGTCTGTATTTTCAACAAAAATTCTACGAATTGATGACAAAGAACCTAGGAATGTGTGGATTATGTCGCGAGATTATGTAAATACCATATACAGCTATGTAAATATGCACAAAAACAAAGTTTCAGAGGTATAGCTAGTCTTTTCAATTATTTATAATTATAATATAAATAAATATCATTTATAAATATAATTAGGTTCTATTATTCACTGGTAATCCCGACTTGTAATACGGCAATTGCGAGTTTTACCATCAAATAGATAACCTTTTGGGAGACTGAAAATGACGGAAAATAAATGAAATGTGTATGATAAAAATTATATGACGTTTATTTAGGTAATAATTACACAACTTTTTATTTAATAATCTCAGTACAGAGTACTAGAAAAACCGACCTCAAAAGTGCGTGGAATTACGTCAATTTGCTAAGTTTTATTGAAATATCTTTAAATTCGCCACTATACAGGACTTGACACTGGAGATAATAAAAATCGGTTCTCACTACTCAAAGAATATTAAGAGGAAAACGAAAACCGACCTCGAAAGCTAGTAGAATTACATCTATTTGCCAAGTAATATTGAAATCGGTTACCGGAAAGTGCGCGGAACCGGATTCATCCCCCAGTTTGCCACCCTTAGAGGTGGAATATTTTCTTCAAATTTAAATAGGACCAATACTGAGGTACTCTCTTCCCAAAAAAAAAGAATCATCAAAATCGGTTCACAAATGCCGTAATGGCGTAACATACATACAAAAAAATGCAGACGAATTGAGAACCTCCTCCGTTTTGAGGTCGGTTAAAAAGCTACAAATTACATCGCCTTCACACGGGCCCCAAGTTTCCTAATTTTAATTCATGACAGTTGTGTGTCGATGGAGTGTCATTGGCAGTTAGGAGTTACACCGGGCAACTTTTATAAGCGATGCAAATGCGCCTTCGTGAAACGCGCGATTGCATCGCTACACTTGCGATTTAGAGTCGATTGCATCGATGTAAACGCGCGACTGCATCGATACAAACGCGCGATTGTATCGATGCAATTTATATACATATTATAATGCAATGCAATTTATATAAGCGAGGGGACGAACAAGGCGTGCGCCTCGAGGTCTAGCACGACGCAACGCGAGATAGCTATGCGAGAATAGCAATATCTCGCGCTTTATGTCGCTCTCCCGCAAGTTGCGTCCTGTCGTGCTAGCCCTACTGGTAATAAGCGACACGGCTATCCATAACAGCTGCAGTGCCACTCAACTTTTAATCTCAAAAATCTTGGTGGCATTGCCATTGTGCCCGTCATCGTCACCCTGAGACATAAGGCAACAACTCCCATGTGCCTGTAATTTCTCAGCTCCTTTCGAAACCAGAACGCAGTAATGCTCACATTACTGCTTGACGGCTGAAATAGGTAAAGTGACAGTGCTTCCCTGGACGAACTGTTTCCAAGGGGCGCTACAGCTACTAAGTAATATAGTCCTGCCAGGTGGATAGTATTTCACAAACAACCCTTTATATGTAACTAGATTAATGTAATCGAGCTATTATATTAAATATTACACGACATCAGATTCGTTGTTCTGATTGCGGAAGTAACTAAAGCACTTGCGTTAGGGAAATCGGAAACAACGTCTGTTCCACAAACACCCAGACTCGAGACAATACCTGTAGATAAAAATTCGTTTTTCTACACGGCCAGGGATCGCACCCGGGACCTCAGTAATGGCGATACCATGTAAACAGGAGTGCAAATTACTCGATCACGAAATGTACACAAGTAAGTTAATAATATACAAAATCCCTAATCATCATCAACTTGTTTGTCTATTACATCGATAAGTTCAGATTTGTGGATACGTCTAGAATGTTTAGGTGCACCGTTATATCTCTCTCGTGAACGCACTACACTTATTCTGCGCGCAGATCGTGGGACACATTCCTCGTAGGGGCCACAGGTGCCATCATCAAACAAAACGAGATTATTGTTACAGTCGCATCTGGACCAACCGCAAGTGAAACCTGAAAGGCATGAATTAAGGTGCATACAGATTGCTTAATTTTTTTGACGAACGACGCGTGTGATGGAACAAAACGAGTATAAATATTTTGTAAACAATAAACGATCGACATCGTATTTTTTGTCAATCAACAGGTGTGATCTGACCAAATCGAGTAAATGTGTAAGAAGCAGACTATGTATATAGTATTTTTAATCGACTTCAAAATAAAGAAGAAGGTTCTTATTGCGACAGAATTTATTTTTGTATGAATTACGTTACTCGATAGCTCCAGGACTTGTGAACCGATTTTGATAATTCTTTTTTGTTGGCAACAGGGTACCTCAGCATTGGTCCCATTTTAATTTGAAGAAAATATTCCACCTTTATGGTGGCATATTCACAAATTACCGGAGTTGTCGCGTAACATACATACAAAAAAAGAGTCCCCCTTTTTTTGAAGTCGGTTAAAAAATATGTCGAATATTTTGGATTGAATTGATTTTGTCTCTGCTGTATACAAATACGTATGAAAATGCATTGATTCAGTAAATTTAATTGACAAATGCATTTATTTTCAAGAGTTGCAATCCAATCCATAGATAGTTCAACATTTACTACAAAGAATTTTAATTGATTAAATTTGGAATTTTAATTGGTTGTAGGATGGTTAGTATACTTTATTTATGTATTACTATAGTTTTTATTATTCCACAAGATGCACCACCACATATGTTTGCACCCGTCGTTCGCTTTCATCCCTATGTACTATAGTAAGATTTTTACTCTTTTGTTGATGCAATATTACATTACATTATTTCGAAAAATCTACAAGAAACTTTACCTAAGTTAATAGATTCTGGAGTGTCACATGTTTTTTGCGATATTGTATCTTTGTCGCACCGAGTGTGGTATGGGTGCATTCCCACCGGGCAGTGCGAAACACCTGCAAAATCATCGTTATAAGACATAACTAAATTGATATGCTGGTGTATTCAAGGTTATAAACTATTTAGGAGTCGTTTTTGACAGCTCACTTTCTTTTAAATACCACTTTGACAGCGTCATTAATAGGTCTTTCAGATTGTTGGGTTTCGTGTGGAGGAATTGTAAGTCCTTCAAAAGTATTACTACATTGAAAACCATTTATTTTGCCTTGGTTCGTATAAATTTAGAATATGCTTCTCCAATTTGGAATCCTATGTACCAAAATCAAGTAGACCGCATAGAAAAAGTTCAAAAGCGATTCCTCTTTTTCCTCACTGTTCATCAACGAAAGCTGCATTTATTGAGAAGTTACGAGGACCGCCTAAAAGAGTTTCGAATTGTCAGTCTAGAACGTCGACTCTGGGTTGCGGACCAAGTTTTCCTTTACCGTTTGGTTTCTGGGCAAATAGATTGCCCTAAACTTTTATTTCAACTTCGGTTTTCTATTCCACGTCGTAACGCCAGGCCACGTACTTATTGTCCATTTGTAGTTGATTGGTCCAGAACGAATGTCGGCTCTAATGCTATTATTATCCGAATTTGCCGTGAGTACAACAAATTGCATAAGACATGTAGATGTGTTGACATACCTACCTCATGATTTAGATTTGTTTTCTTTCTCAGTGTATAAATTTAAAGCTGCATTACTTAAACTCTCTGTCTGTGTTTAAGGTTCAATATTAGTAATACTTCTTTTTATGTCTGTTATTTTACTGATTACATTTTAATTTTTTTTTTCTCACAATGTTTGCAACCTGGCCCAATTATTTGTTATATGTAAAATGATAGCATTAACGTTTTCGATGTGATGCCAATGCGCATGTTGTATTTGCCTGTAATTGGGTTTACACTCTAAAATGTATATAGTGTTATTTTTATAATTGTGTGTAATGGTGTATTTCTGTTGGCAAATCTAATAAAAAAAAAATAAAAAAAAAAAAAATAATAAAATTTATAAGAAAATAGTTGGTCCGTTGCTATTATGTTTATTGCACTATAGGTTCCGTCGGCAGTACAATATACCTGCAAAAAATTGTAAGAGATCGAAATAATTAAAACAAAATTATTAACGTGCCGTGTGTTGAGCTAAGTTCAAACTCATGATATGTACCATTTAACTTATACTTAAATAATTCTTTTATAGGGAATGGTATAGGTTTTATACAATAAGATTCCGGAGCATACATTAAGAATATCATTTCCTAAGTTTAAAACTTACATTCAAAGTATTTTAATTGAAACATCATATTACAAAATTGAAGATTAAGTGTTAGATAAAAATGGAGAGAGGACATAGCTCACATTCCATACAAATTTGATTCAAAGTGTATTCCATAGCATTTAAGTTTATTTAAAAGGGCAAACCCTAGAGTTTCTTGCTCGTTTTTGTTAGGGAAGTCAGCACAGTAAATGAGCAGTATTAGCTTAAACAATAACGTTTTCGAGTATTTAATTTATTTTACCTATGGAATGATGATTTTTTTACTTTTTTTTTACTTAGACTTGCTTAAGAATATACTCAGCCTTTCAATAAATTAAGAAGCGGAAATATATCCTAAAATTTTCCCAATTAATCATTTCATACATTACCTACATCAGCTTTTAGGAATCGTATCGAGTTATTGGGTTCTTCTTAGGTTTACACGATTGTTGGCTGTATATTTGTTTGAAGAACTTGAAATGTTGTTTTGTTTAAAAAAAAAAACAGATAAAGTATACACGATTTGGATAGGAAAAATAGTTTCATTTCTAGGAATCTTGTCCAAATTTATTTTTGTACAAACTGTTAAGCCATTTTTCAACTTTGAATTGCATGCTTGTGTCCATTCAAAAACACAAATGGCATTAAATAAAAGTTTTCGTGAAATTCTTGCAATGTTTTGCACAAAAGCTAACCCAATGAGGTTACTTACACCGTTCCATATAAAGAAGGCATCGTTGTTGTGCTCCGAAGGTTGTCCAAAGAAAGCAGAATGAAAGTCCAAAGATGCGGTGTACCGAAGTCATAATCACCAATGCCATATGCGCGTGTGCCGCCGCCGCAGCTGGTCGTGAAATTGTCACTGTTCATTCTCGCCCAATCGCTATGCGTGGACTGCCTTTTTATAGTTTACATTTACATCGTTGTTTTTAAAAACAACCATACTATTTTCTAAACTCGAAAAACGAGTAAATTCTTGCGACTTCATTTATTCTTGGCTTATTTACCGAAGTAGTAAATTAGTTCGCGGAATAATTCAAGTTTTCATTGGTTCTTTATGAATGTTAATTATGTTTAAATTCAAATTAGTTGTGTAAATAATCAATTAGGCACCCCCTAATGCCGTTGATGCATTGTGATTTCTTTGAAAGTTATAATCCGATGGGTTTAATTGACACCGTAAAGAATAGTTGAGAAAATATATCAGGCCACAATGCGATCTACGATCGTTTTTATCAAAATCACTATGGTATATGTATAATGAAATATATATTTACGTAAGTATTTATATAGTTTATGATCAATGGTTGGAAAAAGGTGTGCCACATATATAGATACATGTGTACATATAGCTACAACGACCGACATAGTTGTTAAATCCACCAAATATTAGTTATTTACTGTTTTGATTTTCGGATTTCCGGAAATGGTTTTACTGCATCGTAGGACAAAATTACTGACCTACGAAGTCGAAGTTGGATTTTAAAGTAATTCTAATGGTGCCATGTAAAAAATGCAGTAGATAATTGACCGTTTACCAAAACAGAGAGTACGCCTATATGTCTTTAGCTTTAGATACCGCGTATTGACGGTCACATTGACGGAACGCCCAAATTTGCTAGTAGAACTTCGGAAAAAAAATTAATTATAAATTTTATTTATTTTATTTATCTCATATATATTTTATTTAAATTCAAAAACACAGTACAACAGATGTTCAAAAATGCGAACCACTTGCAGAAATGTCGTATTTTGAAAGGAAAATGTTCGCACTAGATTATTTTAATACTTTTTATTAAAAACTGTTGAACGCTTAAATAAGATGAAATGTGCCACTTTTGACTGCCTTACCCATGTACGGCTATTTATCTTCATAAATAGAATAAAAAGAGGAGCTTTTTCAATCGAAATTCGAAAAAGTAATTAATTTATATTTGGTGGTTTTAACAACTCTATGTCGCTCCTTGTAGCTATATCTATATTAGTGAAACACCTTTTTCCGACCATTGTTTATGATATACGATATTTTTTGTTTTTATTTCACATAATTATTGTTTTATTGTGCTGTGTAAATCTGTTACTTTGGTTATTGTGCGTGTGCAAGAAGTAATTTCTTTTAGAAATAAGCAGAGTCTTTTGTTTGTGTTTTCCTTTTTTTAATAATAATACTTTAACGTCCCCACAAAATACAACAACAAATAAGAAGTACATAAACATCTTAGTAATTTTGGGAACAGTAAAAGTTTAACAATAACACTGACACTAAAGAAGATATAAAAAAACCGATTAAAGGGGGTTATAGATCTTGTTTCGCTGAGTACATATATGTAAATAACTCAATGTCGCTATAATGTCGATTATTTTAGTTTTGATTAGGGCAGCCAAAGTAATCCACAACACACTAAAGCATGAAACACACAGAGAGCGGGTGCGGTTCGGGTCGGGACCGCGGCGGGTCTAATTCTATGTATTTAGTACGGATGGCAACACACCGAACGCATGCGCGTGCGCCCGTCCCGCGCCGTTTGAAGCGGGCTGCCCGAGCGCGTCCGTGGTCGTGGTTCGGGTCGGGACTGCGGTGGATCTCACCGAGGATGGCCTCGTGGAGAGGCGAAACACGTGTCGGGTATATTTTTTGGTTGTGGTGTTTGTGACTGTAGTTACGCTTTTGTTATTTATTTTATTAACTTTATGTGGAGGGAGGGTGGGAAAACTAACTGCATGGAATAATAACCAATACAAGCGCAACTATTTTGCACGATTTTACCTTCACTGGGTTCGCGAAGGAGTAGCAAATTAATACACTTCCATTTTTTTTTATAACACACCGAGCGCGGGCGCTGGACGGGCGCACCTACACGGAATGACCCGCCGCGGTCCCGACCCGATCAACACCCGCTCTGTGTATTTCACGCTTAACTAAAAAAAATAGAAAATAGAAAATAGTAGTAGATATAATTAATAAATATACAAAAAGAAAAAACGGAACTGTCATCAACAAAGTTTTATCATATAATACGTTTACGACTTAACTTTATCACATAATTGTAGGAACGCGCAACTTCCTAGTTAACTCGAATCAATGAACGGTTAGAAAATGTAAACAAAGTGTTCCTTATCACGAACGTATTTAGCCTTCCGAATGTAGGTGAGTTGGTATACATAGCATCTAATTGTGTATTTATGAAGGCCTACAAACAGCGAACGGTTGAGATAGCGCGCGAAATGTGCCTGGCACCGATCAACCCCAAGCCTTTCTGAACGTCTATAATGTCAGCTTAGTAAGGCGCTGCAAACTAAATGTGGAATCAACGCTTTAAATTTTGATTACATTATGTAATGGTTTAATTTAATGCGAAATATATATTTAACTTTTATGCAGTGACCAGGGCAGAGAGGGGGATGCTTCGATGGTTTGGTAATATAGAACAAAATAATGTTAGTAGATTGACGACACAAGGAATAATGGGCAAATTTGTATGAAACTTGGTCGTAAGACCAACAGATAATGATAATACTATCAATATCCCCCGGGTGTCCTAGTTTTTGTTTTTTTTTAAATATAGTGGAGTAAAATTCAAAAACTTTACAATGCGTATCGGTTTACTGTTAAAGGAACATTATATTAACATTTATTTGTCTATGATCACTTCGAAAAATGATGTGCGGAGTGCGGGGACGCAAATTAGGTCACGACTTTCCCAGCCGAGGTACCATCACGAAAACGACATGAGCGCAGGTTTTTAAATAAAGAATTTTCCGTGGGCCGCGCTGCGCGAGCTTGCACCTACGCGCCGTGGGAGACGGGCCGCCCGAGCGCGCCAGTGGTCATCCGTGGTCGCCTTAAAAAATGTCGGGTTAAAAGTATAAGAATAAACGGGCATGAAGGCGTAATGGAGAGACTGATGAGATGTAGCAAATGGAGGTCCATAGTCTCTGCCTAATAATGATATGTTATACATAAGAATTGTATGTATGTTAATTCACTGAGAGAATCATCTTGTATCGTTCATTATTGAAGTAATGAAAGTAGCATGGCATCGTGCCATATATTTTTAATGAGCCACAGTCTGCATTACTCCGCAGTCTTTAGCAACCCAACCAAGTTAGCAGCAGGGTTATTGCTAGTTTTAACGTAATATACCTACATCGAGATTCGCAATTCAAATTTTATTTAGTGTCCGCGACTTCGTCTGCGTAGAATACCTAAGTACTTCGATTAGCCAATACAATACCATCAATACTAATTTTCATAGTTTTATTGGTTCTCCTTACAAATTTTTATCCGCTATTTCGATCCCTTTAAGATGATGATGTGACAAAAAGTGGTCCATGTCCTTCTCCTAGATCCCATCTAGGTTTAGACGTGAAGATGTAACAGAGTTTCTTTCGCATTTGTAATAATAGTATAGGCGCTAAAAACATCATAAATATTTCAAAAAAAGGCCGATTGAAGGACAAAATAAAGAAAAAACTTTGACTAGGTACATCACCGTTACAATTCATTTCTGTTTTATTGATTTCCTGAAATTAAATTACGGAATAAGAACTCAACAAAGGTCGCTTCTACCCTTGCGCATTTCATGCTTATTTCGGATCGCATGTTAACGATGCCATGTAAATTGGAAAATGATTTTATATGCGGAAATAAATATATTTTATCGTTTTACGCGGATTAAGTCAAGGTTGAAGTGAGTTCCTATAACGTCAGACGATGTTTCATCTGATGATCGTGTTTTGATAATATACTTACAGTATTTACTCACCAAATCATTTTTTGTAATGTTTTTTATAATATCAAGTGACGGGACGAACAAGTCGAGCGCCTGATGGTAAGCTAAACGCCTGTCCATAACATTTACAGTGCTACTCAGAGCTTTAAATCGCAAAGATCTGAAGGGCACTGGCACTGTGCCCTGAGGCATAAGTTGACAAATCCCATGTGCATAATAATGAGTATAATTGCAACAGCACCCTTACTCTTCAAAATCGTAACGCAGTAACGCTCATGATATTTTGCGAATACGATATTCAGCGATAGAGGGTATAATAATATATATTCATCACTCTTTCCTTGTTCCCTTAATTAGAGTCCAAAGTTAATTAACATTCGTCAGGGATAGGTGAATTATTCCGAGAACTGGGTCATTTTCAGGTTAGTATTCTCCATCTAGTTTCGGTGGCAATTTTTATTAGGTATTTAAGTCGAAACCTCCACTTCTCCTCCTCCAAACCTCCTCTTTAACTTAAATATATCCTTTTTTAAAAATAAAACTAAGTGATTTCTTTACTTTTAAATATGGAATCTATAATATACTTAAAAAAAGGATATATTTGTAAGTTAAAAAAAAATGTATTTTGATTTACAACACTTTACGTGTGAGGTATCGAAGTATTTGAGTAAATTATCATCAAATATTAAATAATATTTCAGGTTACTATATTCAAATATTATAAGGGCATTTCTCCAAAGCCGCAATTTTCTGTATCCATGCACTAAACTCCTGCAATATCAAACTTATTTATCAAAACAAAAATCTACAAAAAATAGAGTGTATAATATAGGTCGAAAGCTAACTAGAGAGTATAAAATCTTCCCAATAAACCTTTCGAACCTAATGGAAAAAAATCCGAAATGCCTAAAATCTGACAACGGTGGCGTGTCGCGAATGCAGAGTCCAACACAAAGAATAATTTTTCTCAAAATTTAAACCGTATATTAATATCAGACTTTAGTTCACGTATAATAAATCAGACGATAGTACTTATAATCAGAATGTCTCAACAAATTAGACAATAGTTTTATCACAATACCAAGATTGTTGCGTATCCCAGGCATACGCGGGAATTCGGTGGTCGTTACTAATCACGCTACACATCACAAGTGAAGCATTTATATTTAAGCATAGATGCTTCGCCATTCGTTTGTATTATTCGTCCATCACGCCCCTGCGGCTAAATAGTCAGGAGGATGATTTGTAGCCGATTTTAGGACTTTTTGCGTGCAAATATCTAATTCGGTGGATTTGCTCCAGTTTGATTTTTGAATTCGGTGTATACGATATTTCAAAAACTAAATATTATGGTTGTATGTCATATTTTTTATAATATGTGTTATAAGAACTAGAATATAATAACAATTTATTGGTTTTACAAGTATTGTCGTTTACGAGTAATATATAAAAAAAAATATTTTCTTAATCCCGTGGCCTTGGTTTCGGTGGATTTTATGCCACCGATTTCAGAAAAACTTCCACCGAAGTCGGAAAAAATTGCCATCGAAGCCATATTTTCTTATATTATTGATTTACACAATTTTATATTGCTACTTGCTTCACGGTGAAAAGAAAAATTGGAAATCACGAAGATGAAGGAACGTGCTAGAAAAGCAAAGATAAAAAGCGATCCAATTATATATGAAAGAAATCGATAGACAGAGGTATGCTAAGAAAAAGCTGAAGGAATAATTTTGAAGTTGCATGAATTACCTCATCATGTATAAAAAGTAATGAAAGATATTAATCACGCAAGTTCCAAAAAAATTATTGCTTTTGTAGTTACAGATTGCGATCTATTTTTTTAAAAAAAAAGAGATACTACGGCAATACTTGTGTGATTGAAAAAAAAACGTTGACCAGCCAGCAGAAATTTGTTTGCGTTTTCTGGTCTATTTATAAATAAATTTTAGTTTTTAAAGCTTGATTTAATAGTTAGTCATATTACTAAATGTTTATGTAGATTATTGAATGCTGTCTTTCTCTTTTTCATAATATTTTATACAAAAATTGTGCCTTAGCTAAATTATTCTGATTTCGGTGGTAGCTGAATTCGGTGGATCAAATATGTCATTAACTGTTAAGAATCTAGTTGCCCAATTAACGGAATCTAATGTAAGTTTGAGTTCCTTTTCCTTTCCGCTCAATGTTTTTCCTGAAATTAAGAAAAAAATTCGTCCATCGAAGTCAGAGAAGTTAGCCCTTCTAGGAGAAATGCTCATAATTTTCAAACAATAGAAATTGCCACCGAAATCAGGTAAAGAAAATTAACCTGAAAATTACCCAACTAATTTATTGCAAATAACCTAAGTATAAACGTAAGCTCAGAAATGTCTTTACTTGTCAAGTTTAGAAAATACTAATGATGTTTTTAAAAACAGTGGTCTACTGTAAACATTGAGGTTAGCATAAAGCGATACGTGACAATAAACGGTAAATTAACGGTCGGCTGTGGCGCACGCGTATACTTTACAGGTGGTGATTATGACTACTTTACAATGTATCCTTGGATTGTTGTTCTGCATTCTCAGGAGCCTTGGAGCACCTAAAGAATGCCTACTTCACATGGAAATGTGTAAGTAATTTCTTTATTCTATCAACTACATCATGTTTCGAACTCCAGCAGTAAGCGCTATATGATGTTTGAAATTAAAATTTTTTGACACCTAAACATTTAATGCTGCAAGTGACAGGACGAACAAGTCGTGCGCCTGGACACGGGCGCACTGGAGACACTCCTATCCATAACAGTTTCAGTGCCACTCAGGGATTCAAATCGCAAACTTATGGGCACGGCCACTGGGCCTGTCACCCTGAGAAATAAGTCTCTCTTTATTTTATTTATAATAGGTACTAAGCGAGGGGACGAACAAGTCGTGTGCCTGGTGGTAAGCGACACGTCTGTCCCTAACAGTTGCAGTGTCACTCAGAGTTTTAAATCACAAAGATCACTGAGACATATGTTGACAAGTCCCATGTGCCTGTAAATTCACCAGCACCTTCAAAACCGGAACGCATAATGCTCACGTTACTTTTTGGCGGCAGAAATAGATAAGGTGGCAGTACTTCCCTGGACGAACTGTTTAACAAGGAGCTCTGCTGCTACTAAACCTGAATAATTATTTTATTTCGATTTCTTGTAACATTTTGCGGGTGTGCCGCATTACCCGCGATGCCTGCTCGCATATATCACTCGCAAAAGGCTACTATTTTGCATAGTCATGTAAAGACACAAGTAAAGTGTGTTAATTTATTTATCTCCTACAATGCTGGTTTTGCAGGTGTTCCCAAATGTCCGCCGGGTATGGTCGCGTATCATACTCAGTGTGATAAAGAAACCATGTCGCAAAGGACCTGCGACAATCCAGAGTCCACAAATTTAGGTAAAGGTTTTTATATACTTGTAATGCTCTGGCCATACGGAGGTGGGAGCGTTCCAGGCGTGGGTTATTTTTGTAATGTTCGAGTTCTTATGAATGAACCCTGCTAAATTGCAACAGTCGGCGGGGCGGGCGCGGTCCGGGGCCGAACGCTATGACAAACAGGCGGACCGGGTGGGTCTTATAGCATCTGAACCCGGAGTCGATTTAAAGTTGCAACGGAACCCGTTTGAGCCCAAATGAGACATTTCCCTATATACTGACCCGAGATATAGGGTTTCCCGGAGAGACTACGGGCTCGACGGCAAGACCAGGGTACAGCGGGCGTCCGGGCCAACCCCTCCACCAGTGATGCGCCTTTGCGACTCTGGCGGACCCGTACTTGGGTATGGACTCGCTGGGGTTTGTGGTTAGCTGCATGTTGGTCGGCCCCGGTTTTGCATGTGTCCGGGGCATCTGTCTCGTGAGCGGCTAGCGCGTCTTACTAGTGGTCTAGTTGAGGGCCTTTGTCCGAGGAGACGCGTGAGACACGTGAGTTGCCCTTTAAGTTGGAAGCTATGTCCGGACATTGTCGCAGGACACTGCGACTGGCATCTCCGGCTCTAGCCTCCGGCTCTTGTCCTCTAGTAAAGGACAAGCTAGATATCCTACGGTCCCTCCAGCCGCTTAGGTTATTGGGAACTGGAGAGACGTCGATTTTCGGCGTCGGGAAGTGAGTGCGTCTCACAGCTCCGCCAACAATGACGAGATTTGATAGTGGTGGCAACTGCTAGTAGTGCAATGCGCAACGGGAAGTGAGCGTGCCTACAGCTCCGGTACCTATCTGGAAAATAGGGAGGGTACTGTACGTGCACCCGGGGCGGCTCACCCGAGACACTAGCCTCTCGAAGAACCGGATGAAGTCAAGTGACAGAGGTCTGTGAAAACCCTGTACACTGGCCGATCTGGGGTCAGAACCTGAACTCGTAAGGTTCCCGTGCGCGCACAGGTTATAGTGTCCTTCTCGTATGCCCTAGGGGTAGGTAGGGAGGGTCACTATAATATAATATAAACAAAACTAACGTAAAAAGATATGGTACTTGAGCCTAAATGAGAGTATTGTGTGATCCCGGGACTGGTTGCTTGTCAAAAATAATTAAATTTGAGTAGGTACATCCAGTCCCGGGTTCAGTTGCACCTCGAGACTCGAGAGAGAAAACTCTGAGTGCCATAAGTGTTGCACAATTATGGTTATATGGTTATAACACAAGGTTGAGACTCTACACTAATCCAGCTCGAATTACAATTTTTAGGTATCGTGTTTTCACAGCGTATACTAAACAGTGTATACCCTCAATTTTACTATATATTTTTTCCAAAGTGATTCATTAAACACTTTCACTATTATGCGAAATCAACCAATGCCATTTGAGGTTGTATAGACTTTTAAATTAAGCATAATAGCTACGCTTGAGTTGAATTTCTTTTTTCATGCAGTTATTTTTCCGCATAAAATAAATAAAACAAGCGCACCTATAGTCAAAAACACGACCACCAAAAATATACCCCACATGTGTTTCGCCTCTCTAAAGGGGCATCCTCAAGGGTTGTTGACTGTTCGACACTCCATCGAAGAATCTATTAATAAATATGAAAAAAGTGCAAATCTCATAAAACTATAGATTATTACATATTATATATATGGATATAATAGAACATATAGTTCTTATTCTAGTGGAATAAAGTGTAAAGAATGGGGTGACAGCGACCGACTGTTTCAAACATACGTGGTAGTGGTTGGAATTACAATTACAATGAAAAGTTTATAAAAAAAAAATCGACCTCAAAAGTTCGAGGAATTACGTCTATTGCTAAACAGTATTATTGAAATCAGTTACCGAAAAGTGCGCGAAACCGAATTCTTCACCTAGTTTGCCACCCTTACAGTTGGAATATTTCCTTCAAATTTAAATGGGACCAATACAATCATTGACCTACCGACAAATACAATCATCAAAATTGATTCACAAATGCGTAACATACATACAAAACAAATACAGTCGAATTGAGAACCTCCTCCTTTTTTTGAAGTCGGTTAAAAAAGAGAAAAAATTCCCACTGCTGGAGACGAGTCTCTTAGGTCCACCACGCTGCCAATGCGGGTTGGGGCTTCACACGCTTTCCGAAGGTTATGCACCTGCTTCGCCTTGCAGGTGTCACTACGATTTCCTTCACCGACATAAGTTTAAATTAATTTCGAAAAATTTTATTGTGCTGTTTTGGAGTGCAAAAATGGTAGCCGCATCAAAAAATGCTGCTGGTATTTCATATCATCGGAAAGTTTTACTTTAATCTGTTTATCGAAATTTTTTTTTTACTAGAAACAAAAGTAAAGCTTTGTACCTCTGCAATATGGTCGGTTCTTGTTTGAAGAACTAAATTAATAACAACAATTCGTCGTCGTTCAGCAATGAACCGCTAGATGGCAGTACATCGATTGAAATTTCAATATAATATCAAAATGTTGTAATTTGTAATAACAAGCATTGAACTTTGAACGTTACGCCAACAGGGTAAAGTTTAAATTATATTAACAATCCAAAATTTGTTATTTCTTTTTAACCGACTTGAAAAAAAGACGAGGTTCTCAATTTGACTGTATTTTTTTTGTATGTATGTTACGCGATAACTCCGGTGTTTGTGAACCGATTTTGATGATTCTTTTTTTTTTGAAAGAGGGTACCGGGTAGAAAATCATCCACCTCTAAGGGCGGCTGTTCACGCATGAAGATTCATTTTTATAAATATCGCCTAAATTTTATCATAAGGAGAAATTACTTTAATGGTTGATTTTGCTATTCTCCAATACAAGGCGTTTTTCTCTCCCAATATACTTTGAGTAGTAAGAACAGATTTTTATTATCTCCAGTGTCAAGTTACGTATAGTGGCTAACTAGGGGATGAATCCGGGTTTGCGCACTTTCCAGTAACCGATTTCAATAAAAGTTGGCAAATAGATGTAATTCCACGTACTTTTGAGGTCGGTTTTTTTAGTACTTGGTACTGAGATTATTAAATTTGAAACCTTAGATTAATAACACATAGAAATCTAGCCCGCACACGCTAAGTGAGGCAAGTTAGAGGCTTCCCAAAGGGCCTACACGAGCGGGCGGGCTGTCAGTGCTCAAGGTCAAATTGCACCGCGAACAGCTCAAGAATTTTTGCTAACAATTACGAAATGTGCGGTAAATGGGTGTAAAAATAGAACAGGCAAACATGAAATAGACACTAACATCACATTCCACAAGGAAGTAACGCGTTTCAACTTGTATTTTTATACATATAAATATTCACTAAAACCGAAAATTATTTCGTTGCAACAAGACAGGAAAACGTTGCAAAGTAACGGATTTCTTTCTCCCAATTTTGCTATTCTGTTTCAAAATAATTATATTACGTAATTTTTTGAGAATAGGCAATATCGCGAAGGCTGCAGATTTTTTTTTATTCTGATGTTATAGTGTAATGTACAAATGTTGTTTACAAAGAGCAACCCCTAGAGTTTCTTGCTCATACTTCTCGGGGGAATCTGCCTTACGAATGAGCGGTAGAGTTTAATCAATGTGACGATTTCTAGTGTAATAATGCTTACCTATGAAATAAAGATTATTTTGAATTTGATTCTGGGTAGCGTTTACGGGGGAAACGATGTTTGAAAAAATACTATTGGGTATCCTTTTCGAGATATTTGGGGATGTTCAATACGAATATGGCACTCATTTTTAAATCCAAGATGGCAGACACGACAGTTCAAAGAAAAGCAATATTCGTAATGAGCACCCTCAAATACTTATATACAAAAGGATACCCAACTTGCCATTATTTGAATAATCGTGCCCGCTATCTTGGATTTACAAATAGTGCCATATTCACATTGAGCATCCCCAAATACCTCGAAAATGATACCCATATAACATTTTTTTGAAAAATCGTGCCCGCCATCTTGGATTTAGAAATGAGTGCCATATTTGTAATGAGCACCCCCAAATACCTTGAAAACGATACCCATATTGCATTTATTTGAAAACTCGTGTCCGCCATCTTGGATTTAGAAATAAATGTTATATTTGTAATGAGCACCTCGAATACTTCGAAAATGACTCCCATATTGCATTTATTTGAAAAGTCGTGTCCGTCGTCGTGTATTCAGATATAAATGCCATTTCCATAAGGTTTACCAAAAATAAATTTTTGAAAATTCTTGTCACTTGACATTGTCGATCGACAGTAACGATCGACAAAACCGGAGCATATCTGTAGACACCTGATCGACATTGTCGATCGACAGTAACGATCGACAAAATCGAGCAAATCTGTAGGCACCTGATCGACAATGTCGGGCAAATCTGTAGGCACCTTTAACTTAATAATGAGTTAAGCAAGATACAATTTTCCCACTTTTGAGGGAAATGTTATTCCATGGCATCATTATTTGTATATTTGCGTGCCGACGAACGTGGATACAAGTTGCTTACGCCTACATGAATTTGGTTTTTGCTTCACTTGTGACAGTTCGTTTGATATGAAACTATCATTCTATGCGTTATTATTCTAAGTTTGAAACTACGACCAATCAGTATCAAGATTTTGTAGTGTTTTAAATTAAGAATTCGTGAGTTTAGGGATAGTAATCGAGGCTTAAAAGGGGGCAGTCATTAACCAGCATTGCAGTCCGCCTCGTAATGCAGGATTATAAATGTAGTCGTAGCGTGCAAGCCATCCTGTAATGCGTCCTGCGAGACTCCACACGCAATATGGAGCGTAGGCCATACGCAGGATAGTGTGTGAGTAGTCTCCTGACTACGCGGCTGACTGCCATGCTGGTAGTGAATGGGCCGTTTAAAGCACTTCCATTGTTTTTTTCTTCCGTGGTTCCAGCCGAATACACTCCATGAGCAAATGATAATATACATCCAAACATGTTATGCAAGTTACTGTGCCTTTCAGGTATCACTTGCGGTTGGTCCAGATGCGATTGTAACAGTTCTCTTATTTTGTTGGATGATGGCAGTTGTGGCCCCTATGAGAAATGCTTCCCACGACCTTTGATGTTTGCAATGCGTGGAGTACAGCTATGGAAAAGCAATGTTGGCGCATTTGGACATTCTAGATAGAAGGGTCCACTGAACTTAAGAACACTATTGTTATAAAAGCTGAATTTGACAATAATTTTATAGTAATGGTATTATTTATTTTATAAAACGGAACACAAGACAGCGAAGAAAAACCATTAACAGATTTATGTATCGCTGCCATCACATGCTATCAGGCGTCTAACAATATAATTACTGACCAATACTTATACGTATCTAACAATTTACGCAACTTACACTTAAGAACTAATATCTTTAACAATGTGATAAATGAATTGACTTAAGGATCGTTTTACAATTTTTTGGTTTACCTATAAGTTTATCAAAAACGTCACTTGGCATTTTATTAAGGTAGTAATGGTAACATATATCTCCAGACACGCTTTCCATAGTTGTTATTGTATGGAGGAAGAACATACCTTGGTAGGTAATTTGTATTACGCAATTTACCGATTCTTGTCGTTTGTTTTAACATGTCAATTTTATCTATTTCATCACAAATTATATATATATTTATTTTACTATATACGCACTAAGATTTTACAGTATTTAACAAACCTTTTTTTTCCAATATAGCACTAGAATACTGTAATGAACATGTTATTGTTATCAAATTATGTTCACAACCTGTAGGTACGACTAAAATAATAACGTAATAATAAAATAGTAATGTATCTAAGTACTTTTTTTTAATGGGGGTTCCACTGATTTCACTGATGTAGGGGAGAGTTGGGTATTACCGCGCGGCTGATAATTTCGCGCCTCTGTATATCTCAATAAATACACGCTAGTTACAGTGCCCCAGCATCATATCCTGACAAGTGTTACTCCCCGCATGCACGCTGTCATTTCATTGTGAGCGATCATTCGAAGACTATGCGTACTGTAAGTTTTCACACTTGTTGAATATAATTGTACGGGTGTTTTCGGTAAGAGGTAAGTCACATAACATTTGTATTGTAACTAATTGTTTTAACATATTTGAAAGGTTAAAATATTGTGGAATCGATCTGCAAAATCATTTCGGAAACATAGTTTGCTTTTTATATTTTTTTTGTGATTTGAAAGCAAAGTGACTGAGGTTGACAATTTCGCGCTTAGAGCACGGTATTATCAGATTTGGGCACGGAATTATAAACGAAATGTTTATGAAAATTATATTTCGTAAACATGTTGAATGGAAGGGGGAGTAGAAAAGAAAAAAAAACGAAGCAAAGAATAACCTGCTAAGAAGAAAGTTTCAAACAGCAACGTAAATAGTGAGAAGGATAAGTTTGTGGAAAACGTGTACATACAAAAATGTCAAAATAATAATAATAATAAGCAAAAATTTTAAAGAGAAAAGAAAGCTACCAAAATGAAAGAAAATTCGACAGTACCGAATTATTTTTAAGACTGAAGATGTGAACATATTCACTTTCATTCAAATAGCTACCAAGTCTGCCAATTCTTTAAGAAAATAAATACATGGAAGGCAAATGTTATTCACCTATCTATTTGTTTAACTTTATTTATTGTTAACATTTTGATATTCAATTATCTCGATGTATAAGATGATAATTCGAGACTCTTATTAATAATAATAGTAATAACACACACACTCAACATAGCCCCGCACTAGGGAAACCCTGTGTCGCGGGTGCCATGGACACACATAGACAACCACAAATTACTACCAAACTCACGAGAGAAATAAATGTAGGCCATACAAATATTTCTCCCGGCCCGGGAATCAAACCTGGAACCTCTGCGCGGCAGCCCGGCATGGTAACCGTTCGGCCACGGAGTCAGTTAATACACACGAGTTTATGCCAACTTAAAAATTTGTTTTTGTATTTATATCATATAAATTTATTGGGGCACGATTTTACCAGATTTTAAGCGCAATATTATCAGACCAGTTTGATAATAATGCGTTTTTTTGTTAACTTTGCAACAACTGTCTTTTGTGTCTGTTTATGAAGGTTATGCTATACTACACGTGTAGCCAAATAAATTAGCTACTTACGACTATAAATTTTGTTTTTAAACTAAGCCTGAGCTTAATTATAGGTTTTTTGCTTGGGGGCTCAGTATTAGCCAACTGTCCCCTATCTGGGCGTCTACTTCCGTTCTTCGTTCGACATCCATCTGAAACAATTACTGTGAAATAAGTAATACTCTGCCGGGTGGCGTCTTGTCTCCTCTCTTATTTTCTTTGTTTATTAATTCCATTCACACTTTCTCACTTCTTCCTATCATCTATATGCTGATGACCTCCAAATTTACTCCCAGTCGTCTCTTCAAGACTTACTAAGTGCTATTTATGCTACCAATGTGGACCTTGAGTCCATCCGTCAATGGAGTCAGTCCTTTGGCCTAAAAGTTAACCCGTCCAAAACACAATCCATTATTATAGGTAGCACTTGGTCCACTTCTCGTATAGAGAGTTGCCTCTTTTTCATCTAAAATTATTTTTTACATCGAAATTTGTAATAGGTATGGAATTATACCAAATTCCGTATTCGCCGTCTCTGCCCATGAAATGGATTAAAACCCGACGCTTTAGGAACAAAACCCGAGCGGGTTGATTGGTTCATTGATTTTAACACACTTCCCATTTCTGACTGTACGTAATGATGATGTATCTAGAGAATCAATTTACAATTTACTCAATCATGCGTGTCGTTTTCAAGATCAAAATAGAAACAGCAATTGTAAGAAGCTTAGTCAACGATGTCCATGTATATTGAACCTAGCACTGTTACTTTAGAGCTAGTAGATAATTATATTGTCTTCAGCTTTACGACTATAGCCGCAATAAGAGATTGATGAGGTCTCTTTATAGCCTATTGCCCTTTTAGCGTAAATAATATTTATTACTCATTATAATAACATAGCTGTAATAATTTAGTTTTAGATAATGGAAATAGATCTAATAAAACCTATTAATGATTGTTTTGTGTTCAAGAGCTCATAAACTATTTTCTTTTTTAATCGATTTAAAAAAAAGGAGAAGGTTATACGTTTGGTTGTATGTATGTTTTCCGATTTTTCCGTCAGTTGTGGACCGATTTTGAATACTCTTTTTGGTTTGAAAGCGTGCACTCTTGTGGTGGTCAAAGTGTGAAGTCAATATGTGAAATCGAGGAAAATCCTCAAAATTTTATAGGCAAGTAAGTGTACTCACCAATTTCTCCCTCAATTGCGGACCGATTTTCAAAATTCTTTTTTCGTTTGAAAGGGTATACTCTCGAGATGGTCACTGATGCCAATGATGTTGTTCCGTGTTCATTTCGGCTATCACAAATAAAAAATATTTTCCGCAAATAATAGTCGACTTTTCACGTGACACATTTATGTATTCATCAATAAATCACCGTCACCATGACAACCAGAAAAAAAACGTATAAAATGTACAAAGGAGTCCGTAACAGTCTCATTGTCACCCAGAATCTGATGAGGGAGTCCCAAATCGAAAAAAGCCGTTATGCAAACTTTTGAGGTCGGTTTTTTTTCAATGAAAAAGTTACAATCTTATTATTTTACTATTTTAATATGATTTTAATCTTATTATTTACGTACACACATATTATAAATCCTTTAATGTGTTCAAAAACCGCAAAAAGATAAACTGTTAAAAAAAATAAAAATTATAAAAATTTCGTATCTGTGAAAGTGTTATTATCGTTTCGTAATATTACTACATTCAAATTTCGAACATCTCGGACAAACAAAACAATTTGATTGGACCTCAATTCTAATATCAATCAAGATGAAGTTTTATTGGAAATGAAATGTCAATAGCTTAGAGGATGGAAAAAAATAAAGGAAAGGAGTAGCCCTTTCTAGGGAATAAACGTCCCTACCTAAACCAAAAATGTCCACCACAAATGGCGGATTTCTTTAGTGTTGTACCATAATCATCGATAAGTCAATATCGACATGCAAATGTATGGCTTGAATGTTGAACAGTTTTTTTTTTGTTAATAGTTTACTGTAATCAAAGTATGATTAAAATGTTTAATTAAAGTAGATCAATATTCAATGTCATAAGGGAATATACGGGATGATAGATATGAGATTTTGAATTTATTATTTTGCATTTATAAATGCTCACATATTATGAAAAATAATGTAAATCAGGAAATCTCTATACATTTCCAATCTGAAGACTGATATTAAATATTTTTGAAAGGTTAACAAATAGTTTAAGCTATTTTGTATTTATGTGTTGGTGTAGAATTAATATCAGTGATTTTGATTTAGGTGAATCATAGGGTCGTATTCCAGAACTCTACTCAATGCTCAAGTCAGGATTTGAGCAGACTAGAGTATGATTTCAAGCACTGGAAATACGACCCTAATGGCAAGGACTTGAGTATGATTTTCAGTGCTCACTGCAATACTCAAGTCCTGACAGTTCTGGAATACGACCCTAACACTTCCATTTCATTTTTGAAATAAATATATCGTTAATATTATCGATAATCATAAAATCAGATATAATATTAGTAATAGGTAAGTTTATTTGCTTAAAACATGGTATAACAGAAGATGTAGCAAGAGACAGAGGTTCTATTAAAATTTGACTCTTCAAAATGGAGCGAACAAATGAAGGTGATATTTATCCAATGTTTATGTTCGGCAATCCTATAATTTCCAACCATTCTTTCTTTGTTTTTTCATTTGTAGGTAAACTTTAAAAATAAAAATAATAATAATGAAAAATAAAAACCTCGTAGTGAATTGTTTTAATAACAGAATATCGATAATATGTCTGCTTATAAGAACAACACCATCTCAAAATAATTGTTATCAACAATCTTCAAAATATACTAACAAACAGGCAATCTAAAGTAACCAAAGCAAAATTCGGCAAGACTTATGAATTAACTATAATGAGAATAATAATAATAATAATAACAACGCACACACTCAACATAGCCCCGCACTAGGGAAACCCTGTGTCGCGGGTGCCATGGACACATACATAGACAAACACAAATTACACCCAAACTCACGAGAGAAATAAATGTAGGCCATACAAATATTTCTCCCGGCCCGGGAATCGAACCCAGGACCTCTGCGTGTCAGTCCGGCATGGTAACCGTTCGGCCACGGAGGCAGTTAAATAATATTAAAATAAATTTAAATGAGTCTAATTACATGATATATTTGAGCTATTGTAGGATTTATATACAAAACAATAACACATAATGTAACATTCGGTTGATTTCCGCCTTTTCTACTGCCGCAGCAACGCATTTTAATCAAACTTAATTGTTCTCACTGTCAATATTTTTGTCCAAATTTATTACAATTCACGCGAATAATTTAATAAAACATTTGGTCAAACATTGGTTTTGACTTGACATTTCATGTACTTCCCTTTGACATCCGTATCCGGGTACTCCAAAAATGGTAAAATGAGGACTATTGGCATTTAAGATGACGTTACGTCTTTTCGATTTCCGTGTTTGACATAAATCAATGTAGTACTATCTCTTTTGGCTTACGACGGCACGCAGTATTTAAACAAAGACAATAAAATGTTTATGATTTCAACGTCTAAATCTTAGAGGATGGAAAGTCTAAATACATCACATACCTAAAACGTTTGATTTATATAG